GATTTTCCTACCCTGTTTAAGACAGAATTCCGATTTTTGATACCCTGTTTAAGACATTTAACCCGAAACTATACCCTGTGTAAGACAATAATAAATATCGAAACTCTTTCTTATTTAATCCATTGGCAATCACAAAACTATTTACAGCTTGATTGACAGAGTCACGAGGAGCTCTTAACAGTTGATAAAATCGATACCGTGATTAACACAAAAATGAAAAAATCGATACCCTGTTTAAGACAAAAATGATAAAATCGATACCCTGTTTAAGACAAAAATCCCGAAAAACATACCCTGGCTGGCCGCACGTCCCCATTAAGCCCTGATAAGGAGTCCCCCCCGGGACTACACTCCGCATTTTCTACCATGTTTTCTTTCACAAGTAAAAAGGTTTTTGAGTGTTAGTCAAACTGCTATTCATTTTATTAATCATTATTTCACAATTTACAGTGTTTTTGCCCCCTGACACGACCTCGTCACCAATATTCAAACGACACAAGAAAACCACAACTGGGAAGAGCTCAGGTAAATACCGGTTATTGCAAAACCTACTTTACTAGATTAGTTTAATTTAGTCTAATTTCATTAGACCTGGAGCTGCGTACTGTCCCAAAGTGTGCCAAACGAAGTTTCTTCTTTGCGTTTCTCCAGCCTTGCTTTATTCGCTCCCTCTTTCGTTTCTTTATTTATAGGGAGGTTGTGGCGAAAGGCGCTAAATAAGGAGATCAGTAAGGCTAAGGCTAAGAAAACATCGATAGCTGGGTAAGTGGAAATTGATTTATTTTAAACTTGAGTCAACGAAGGATTTCGGTTAAAGTCACATGTATAAATAGAATGCGAATATACCAGTGGGGGGCTCCCTTTTAAAAATGATTGGCTGCTCGTCATACCTTTTAGGCGGTCAACATTTGTACATCGGTACCGCTTAGGATGCTAAAATCTAAAATGACCACAGTTAGAATTATCACAGTACCTTTTAGGGTATCAAGCCACACTCATCAAACAAGATTCTGCTACCTTTTAGGTGTTTTTTTTGAAAATTTCCGATGAGCACTCCGTGATTTTTATATGCGAGATGCCCCCCCCCCGGGATGAATGTGCCATAATGTCACCAATGTTCGTTCTTGTGATATTCAAAAACATAAAATATAGCCCGTACGCGATCGACAAGGTTTGTTTTATTTTTTCAGATGTGATACGCAAGGAAATCGTGAAAGGGATGGACAAAGGTAGGCGGTTTTTCAGCATTACAAACAAAATTAATGTTTGTTCAATGCGACTTTGGCGCTCAAGTTCCGACTGATCTTGTTATATTTCTACCGCACAATTTAACTTTTCTCCTTTAGTTTGAACATTTGTTTTTAAACGCGTGCGTTGACGAAAATGTCTTGAATAAAAAATCGCGTACAAAAAAATTTAATTCTAATTGATTAAAAAAGATTGAGCATTTTATGTAACACAAGATGAAAAAGGTGTAATATGAATTTATACGACAACGAAGAAACGCGAAGGGCCTAATTATTAAACAGCTATCGCCGGCCATCGGACGTATTAGGAAATGACTAAAGATAACCGAAGATTACCGAAGGTATCATATCTTCACGTTTATTTTGAACTTCATGCCTTGACTTATTACGCTTTCGTTGTTTGCATTTTTTTTTTATTTACTGTAGACATGGCACAGTAGACTGTCCGATAACTATTTCAAGTCCAGAAACCAGTCCACCCAAAAAAAAGGAAGAAGTACCCTGGTATGTAGATTATTTTAGATAGAAAGAAATCATTAGCAAAACAATCACTTATCCCAAAGCACATGGTATTGAGATGTTCTTTTTTCACTTGTACTTTTGCCATGCAATCCTCAGTACCCAATGAACTTTGGAGAAGATTTCATGGTAATACGTGAATCGTCAGGTCAATCCTAATTTTTCCATAAACAAAATGTGTTAAGTGTTACCCTATTATTGAAACGCTTAGACACCATTAATTGTTAATAGTTGGAATGGTCTGTGTGTTTTTCACATGGTCTTCCACAGTCCGAATTGTTTCCCTGTTAAAAATGATGTGTCTTGCTTGGCACTTCTTAGCCTGAAACCTCGTGTATGCGCCTTCACATTCTTGTTGTTTTATTTTTAAATTTTCTCGTATTTTGACAAATTATACGCCCAAGTTAATGCTTTGTCATCGTCTTGTTATTCATTATTTAGGACACGCGTTAATGTCGATTCTGCTACCAGAAGACATCTTTTCGATGCGGATGATGATGAACCACTTGAGGTATAAAATTACATAATTCACATCCGTTTGATGGTATATTGATAACTAGAGCAACAACGAATTTATTTTCCTTATTAAATGAGAGTTGCTTTTCCCTGAATTCTCGTATTGCTTCTATGTACAATTTACTGAATGGGATCGTTACATATGAATCATATATACTTCACCAGGCTCTGTTCTCATAGCCTCTCTCAACCCAGGACTGTAAATTTGGGTACGGGCGAACGTTGACATTACCTCACTCTAATCTGATCTATAGGTCAAATTTCAAGGAAACCACGGTCAACTAATGGAAACTAATGACTCTGAGGATACTTACAGCAGGTTAGTACGTAATAGTATTAATACATGGCAATTACCTGTGAAAATGTTACAGTTAACTGAAAAAAAAACGCTGTATACTGTTAGATGTAGAGTTCTTTCCGCCGGGTTTCGTCCACATGAAATACAAAAAGCAAAACGTATGGTTCACATTCGTAAAGGTCAAGCAAATAAAATTGAGTGTCGCGTCGTTTACCTCTTTCTAAAGGTATGCTGGAGAATTCTACGATGGAGACAGACGAACACCGGTATTTAAATGGTGTTCTTCGCCATTAGCTTCAGAAGAGGCCGTCTTCCGCCTTCTACGCCCTTGCGATGAAAGCTTAGTTGCCACTGCCACTCCCAGGAACGTTGCCCACAACTGCGTATTCATGGTCGATTTAGATCGCTTGCCTCACCAAGAAGATGTGAAATGTGATAATCTAGGTTCTTGGCGAAACAATGGAACCAAGAATCGCGTGTACGAAATAAATGAGGATGGGTACCCTGAACTGGTTGACGAAGAAGAAGCAAGGGAAGCAACAGGCACATATACTCTCAAAAGAGTGTACTACAAAAACAAGGCAGCTCTCGACCTGAAGAAAAACATCATGACTTTGAAAGGTAATGTTAACTACTTTTCTACCAGCAAATAGTACATTTTACTAGTGTTTTAATGCAAATGCTGCGTTTTGATTGGCTGAGCTACTCGTGCAGCCGTTAGAATAGGAGGACGCGCGAGCGAGTGTATAGGTGTTCGAAATAAGTGAAGATTAAATGCTATTTGGGGAGAAATGGGGACAAATAATTGGAAATGGTTTTTGATAATTTTGTGAGAATTTTTAATAAATAACTGTATATTTAGCTCTCAATTTATATGCTCATGATCTAATTGTTAAATACAGGTTGCTTTCGACTTAGACAAAGAGAGTGGTGGCAGTGGTACTTTATTTACTCGTTGTTATTTTAGCCATAGTTTTCCTTGATTTTTACTTCCATTTCATCCTGTAGAATATCCCAAGCTGTGCTTAATTCAGTATCTCTTCGATGCGGTGGAGCATAAAATTGATGTACCATGCCATGGAAACGTGAAGAAAGGTGGAAATCCATACACGCGTACTAAGCCAAGTGTTATCGCGAACCTACGTTCCGCAGTAAAAGATCAGAAACCTAAAGCAGCATATCATCAGGTTGAGGAGATGGTCGGTGGTATCATGAACGTCGATTGCCTATCTGACCTGCCAAGGAACAGAGACCAAGCCAGTTATTTAAGGCGAGGCTCGTCAGAAAAAAAAAGGACCACGTTGACTCCTTAGTGATATTGCTGGAGCAGTGTAAAAAGACAGCAGTTAGCAAACCCCAAAACCGCCTTTGTTCGTGAAGTTTCTTGCGCACCAGAGTTACGCTGCGTCATGTGTTACGACGACCAGCTTGCTGACATAGTGAGGTTTTGTACAAATCCTAGCAGCTTCGGGATCCTAGGCGCTGACCCAACGTTCAACCTTGGGAAGCTTAACGTGACTGTAACCACATATACCAACTTGTTAGTGGTTGATCGTAAAACGCGCAGGCATCCTGTGATGATTGGTCCCCTATTCATGCACCAAACAAAGACGTATGACGCCTATAACTACTTCTTTTCCAAACTGGTTAGCTTAAACAAAGATATTGGAAACGTACTGGCCTTCGGTACGGATGGTGAAGAGCCTCTTTTCAAAGCAATGGAACGCAACATGTACCACGGCATCCACTTAAGATGCTTTGGGCATTTCAGGGACAACTGTAAAGAACAGCTGCGCGCCCTCCCACGAGAAGTTCAAAAGGAGTTCCTGGATGACGTGTTTGGACGCAGGCTTGAAAATGGTAGCATGGAAGCTGGTAAGTTAACCCTCGAACGTACAAGGGGGGAGGATGATTTCAAGACAATTTTGTTGTTAGTCCGTGCCGTCATTACTAGCTGTTCGTTTATCTGTGAGACACAATCGGTTTATATGGCAACAAGATATGACGTCATAAGCATAAGCAAGCCATATTTAAAAATGCATATTTTTAACCTTTTTTTTTCAGTGAGTTTTACAACTCTAGCCAAAGATATTTTCAATTTCCGATTTTTAGTAAAATCCAAGATAACGTCACGGACCCCCAGCAGCGCCATAACCCTTAATAATTTCCTTATCTTTTTAGATAAAATATTTCCCAAATATAGTAACACTGCAAAAACCCAGGGGAGGGGTTGCAACCACCCCCCCTCTCCCCCTCTTTCCCTTTTCTCCTCCCCTTGTACGGTCCACGGTGGGGGTATAAGTTTGCGTGTACTCTTTCACTATATCAGATCCCCCTCCCTCTATGAGAAAGGGAAGAAAGGGCCATGGGAACGAGGTTGCAGGAAAATCCTAAACTTTATTTCGTTTCTCACTGATAAAGGTCTTTTGGATTGCGAGACAGAAGCTGACTTTCAAGCTCAGTTGGTGTCACTAAAGAACGTGTGGGATGAGCGAGAAAAGGCCCATCTGCCTGCTGGAAAGCAACCTTCATTTCACAAATATATCTCGGAAAAGGTGACAGCAGTTCATGTACTTAGGAAATGTTTGAATTGCGGGAGTTTAATTTTGGTAATTTGGGTTTCTGGTAACAAATATATCAACTCGATTTATCAAATTTATTCAGAAACCGCAGAGACTCTTCCCTATTTGTTGTAATTGTAATGTTGGTAATGTTTTCAATTCAAATTTAAATTCAGCTTTTATGGCCGGAGTTTATTTTTACGATATCACATTTCGTGAAACGCTGGAAACCCCGCAAAATTCGCGAAAGTTAGATTGCGCGCAAATTTCATGCCACACGGTTTTCTGTGTGGAATATGGAGAATTTATGTCATCGCCATTTGTAATAACATGCGCGGTTCATATAGCAACGGTTTCATTCAATATTCTTATATTTATGCAAGACCTTCATTTTACTGGAGGTGCTATGTAAGTAACAGTTGGCCAATGACACAAATTGCAATTGAAATCGGACATCTGGCCTTTCATTTCTAAACCAGCCAGCTAGAGATCCCTTTGTTATTGCGTTTTCCGGAACTTGGAACTTTTTAACGTAATCACGAGCTTGACTTGTACTTTAAAAAAAGAAAAAACGTTTTGAAGTACGACAATCCTTGTTTTATGTAAAGTTATGGAAAATGTAGAGAATTTACGCCTTATGCTATTAAATTAAAGGACAACATTGTCTCATTTTATTTCAGGAAAAAATGATCCAAGACAACATGTTGCGCCCCATTCGGTTGAATGCAGGCCTAGGAAATCCTCCAGAAGCATATTATAACAACATGCCAGAATCAGCAAATAAAATTATTAAAATGGGAGTAGACTTTCAAAAGAATGAAATGTCACAATTTAACGACAAGATGGAGAAAGTAATTCAGCAGCAGCGACGGGACTGTGAATCAGCCGTAATAAACAGAGGTCCATATGCTCTCACAGACGACTACCTTCACTTACAAATGTCTCCTGACAAGTGGTTTTCCCTGAATGCTCGTCAGCGTGAAAGGCATTTGAAAAAGTTCTGGGAAGAAGTACCTGGAAGAAATGTTGATGTGCAGGATGACAGTGGTAATGTAAACGATGACAAGGAAGAGAACACTTCCCTTACCAGCCCTCCAGAGCTGTCTGTAAGACCAGAGGAGTCAGGTGCAGCTGGTGTAGCTCTTCTTTCCCTAAAAGAGATGTACCGGCAAGCATCCATTCTTCTCCTCAAGAAAGATTCCATTGTGGAAATACCTTTTAAGCCCCATACGTTTATGGTTGAAAGCGACAAGGGAAGGCCACATTATGTTGTACTAGCAGAAAGTGGGAAGGTGACATGCGAGGACTGTCCTCGTTATAAGTCTACAAAAATATGTGCACATTCTTTAGCCGTGGCAGAGAAGTGCGGTAAATTACAGAATTATCTCACTTGGTTTAAGAGAAGCAGCCACACCTTAACTACAACGAGTTACGTCACCTGTGACAGCGCGCCAACAGTTGGCAAAAATCCCAGAGACCTTCAACGTCGCGTAGGAAAGGTGGTAGAGGGCAAGCTGTCAACATTGTGCCTCGACCAAGTGCCAGTGAGCAAGCTCCATCACCCTCCGCAGCGCCGACGCCCTCTCCTGTACTACCTCCCACCGCAGTGCCACCAGCCTACAAAGCGCCTCCACCCTCTCCATCTGCAGCGCCACCACCCTTCGCAGCTCCGCCCTTCGCAGCTCCGCAACCAGTGGTTTCGCAACCGTCAGAGCTGCCCCTGACATTTCCTTTAAGTCCTTCAAATGCGCTTGGGCGGGTTCCATATCCATCCCCACTGCCAGGGCAGTTTATTGTTTATCCCTTAAAGTTCTGCCCACCTCAAGTGAGCATATGTTATGGGTGTTCTAACACCCTTAAACCGGGAGGGCAGATTCCGCTTCCTCCTCATGATCTAGTCGTAGCCTCCAACATGATGCGAAGCTTCCAGCACGGAGGGCAAATGAGGAGCAAGCAAAGCAATGTATATTTTCATTGTAGTGGTGCCTGTATTAGGGCTAAACAGCCATATTTCTCTCATTGTAGCATGCCATGGTTTATACGTTCTTCGCTAACCGATCAACAGCTTGACTTTCTCAGTAAAATGTTTCCAGTTTATGCCCTTCCGTGAATTGTTATGTATTGTACGTATATAGTGCAACACCATTGGCCCGGTTATTTTTCCGATTCTGAAAACGGACGGCTAAATATCTCAATATGTACGAGTAGCGATAGAAATCTGTTGAACATGGATACGTCTTAATAAAGTTTTGTTTGTTTGTTGGACGAAGGTTCTTCTCCTCTGTTGACTAAATATAGTACGCTGCAGCATATTAACATGGTACCAGAGTCTTCGCTTTGTACTTCTTTACCGCCACAGACAAACCTAACATTTTTTTTTGATTTTGTTTCGCTTGAGAAAAGAGCGATGAAATTGTTGGACTTAAATAAAAATAAAAGCAATAGCTCTTGTGTACGTGGCCACTGGTTCCGTTTCGAGTCCTGGTTCCTTTCGTATCAGTGGACAAAAGAATTTTGACAGATAAAAGTGTAAATTAAAGTTACTAAAATTAGGCGAAACCTCGCGACATAGCCCCTTTAAGTCATTCCTCTAAAGAATAACTAAAATAAATAGCTAGCTGAATTTAAATGGAATTTGAAGAGGTTTAAAGAAGGGATAGAAGAAAGAAAATGATTTTTGGAACACCAACAGTTGATACACACAAGAGCACTCCGGGTTGCTAGTGAATATTTCTTATTTCTCTAAAGTTTACAAAAATTTACATCTTTTTCTCATTATTCAGTCTTTTTTTTTCTCATTATTTATTATTTACGTCTATTTTATTTATTTTTATTTTTTAAAATTATTATTGTCCGCCGTCCGCCGTCCGCCGTCCGCCGTCCGCCGTCCGCCGTCCGCCGTCCGCCGTCCGCCGTCCGCCGTCCGCATCCGCCGTCCGGATCCGCCGTCCGGATCCGCACTTTACAGAGTCCCCTTTATTTCCCTTTATCATATTATATGTTTAAACCACAAACAACCGGTTTTCAACTTGAACAACAACAATGAATTGAAATCAAACATATGTAAAGTCCTTATTTGCCAGAAAAAATATATATATCGTTTTGGCAAGCTTTCGTGACACCCCGGGGCCTTTAAATTGAGAGAAATACAAAATAACCGCTTAAAACGTTAACGAAAGGCTAAAAATAACAGCTAATTAAAGAATATTTGATTATGATGGATCGAAATTGTTAATATTTTTTTCTTTAGTTCTTTCCGATGTTTCTAACTCCGCTTCAAATATAACGTTCAGGGAGCAGTTTTTCGAAGCCCGATCGTTACGCTTCATACAATTACAAGTTATCTACGTAGTACGAACTTATTATTTAATCACATCCACCATACGAGGCTGAGCGCTTATTAACTTTTTCTGCCTCTAGGATGGGCGCTTATTGCAATAAATACGGTAACCAGTTGGCGGAACGCAATATTGAAATATGTTTGTTTCTGTTGCTTAAAGTATTGTTTTCTTTTGTTGTATTTGTTGCTTCGTTTCTTTTTTGTGTTCATTTTGACTCATGATTTTAGAGGCGTCTGAACATGAAATTGTAGCCAAAACGCACCCAAAAAATTTGCTTTGTAAGCGATCATCTTCTGTGCTATTCCTGAGTTAACTCCTGCTTTGAACAAAAAGGCACGAGAGAATAATTTGTTTGTCACAAAGATGCCAAAATAGACTATAATGCTCAAACCATCCAAAGCACAAATTTGATAAAACCATTGCTTTGAACAAACCGCTAAATTGCCTCCTCCTATATGATGTGATATCCATATTCTCGAATTATTCAGCTCTTTTTGAGTGAATATTTTTCCTACTTAATATTTACAACATATTTGTGTCGCTAAATGATAAATTAGTCCTCTGCTATGAAACTATATAAAATAAAAGCGCAACTAGGATAAAGTATTTCTGGCCATTCTGAAATCCAAGAAAAAATATCTGATATAATAAATACTTTTTTAGCTCTTATCTTTTTTCAGATTTTAACATCGGGGTGTGCTCTTCATCTTGAGGTGCTCCGTTTTTCACCACCACGGCTAGAATTTATCCAGAAGGAACGCCCTTGAAATTATCACAGGCTGACTGAACCGCTTGCAGCTTGGAGAATTCGAAGCATGATAGGATAAATAGCGGCGAATTCTTTTTCACCTCGCGATCGTACTGATTGGACGTATGCCTCTAAGGTGCCTCTACACGTGACAAATAAACCAAGAAAAGGGCGAATCACAACACGAATGGACTGTAAGGGCTGTAGGGCATAGGGGCTATATAGCCAAACTTGGAGGGGTACTCAACAACTGCAAACTAGCCAGTTGTTTGAACGACTATTGCATTAACTAACTGTTTAGGGCGGTCAGACCATGAGTCTGATCGATCAATTGACTGATTGATGATTGATCGAATGATTGATCGATTTATTGATAGATGGATTGACTGATTAAACGGACGAATAAAAAGACGAACGAACGAAGAGAGACAGAATGACTGACTGACTGACTTACTGACTGGCCGACCGACTGACTGACTGACTGACTGACTGACAGAAGGTCTGACTGACGAGCGGAATGGCGCACTATCTGGCTGGTGGAAGGAATGAATAACTGGTTGTGCGACTCTGAACAACTGTAGACTAACCGACTGTCTTTCTGACCAATGGACGGCGCACTGAAAAAGTGTCAAGCCGACTAACTGACTGGAATCTAACTGAAAAACGGACGGACTAACTAGCTGACTGAGTGACAAAATGGGAGACGGAAAGACCTGTTAACTGGCTAAACCTAATCAAATGGACAGAAGCAGCTCCAAGTGGACCCGAATAACCTGTCTTATGAATGAAAGAATTCATTCATTTCATTTTTATTTACCGTATTTATTCGAATAAGCGCCCAACCTCGAATTAGCGCCCACCTCGAATAAGCGCCCATCCTAAAGGCAGAAAAAGTTAATAAGCGCCCAGCCTCGAATAAGCGCCCACCCCCTCCTCCTCCCAATCAAACTCAAATAAGCGTTCACCCCCACCCCACCCACTTGAGTGAATAAATTCTAATAAGAGACTTCCCGGAGGACGGAGCTTTCTTCAGAGTATTATACAGAAACCTTTCTTTGTTACTTCTTCGCGTTTTGTTATTAGCATTTATTGTTTTGTTGCAAAATAAACATACTTCACTTCCTGAAAATAGTGAAAATTTAATAAGCGCCCAGCCTCGAATAAGCGCCCACCTCGAATAAGCGCCCACTCTCAAGGTCCAAAAATTTAATAAGCGCCCAGGGCGGTTAATCGAATAAATACGGTATTCGTTCGACCCGGATAACTTACCTTATGAGTGCGAGTTTTTCTTCCTCTGATGAGTGTTCATCCAGCCACTGAGAGTAGTAACTTAACGACCAACCCGCTACCTACGAAGAAAAAGTATACTAACATTTAATACAAGGGGAGGGGGGTACGAGAATAGAATACAATCCCACTACGAAGTTTTTGTCAAATGGAAAAAAAGGCGTCTTGCGAAACGTTTTCGAACTGGGATGAAAAAAACTTGTCATTTTGTGTTATTTTAACTGTTTTTATTTTTTACGCGTCAAGACGTCAAATAGACGGAAAATTCAGGTACATATCATTTTTTTTTTCTAAGGAAGCGCGACGAGTTGTGACCCAACTTCTCCCAAAAACTCAAAATGGCCAACCGACGAAGCGGTAGAATTTCCCACCACAGTCCTACAGTGCAATACAAGACAAGTGCGACCAAGTCTCGTACGCACCTCCACACCACGCCTTCACCCCCCCCCCCCCCCCCCCTATACCCCGCCCATACCGACTCATATACACGTTCCTTGTCATTGCGCCGCTGTTTCACCCCATGTAAAATGTAAGGGAATCGAAGATAGTCTTGGAATCTGGATTCCACGCCGTGGATTCCGAAGTCCAAGTACGGGATGATTCCGGATTTTTTGTCAGTGGAACGTGGATTTCCGATTCCGATCTTTAGTAGGATTCCGGGTTCCTTGAGCTGTATTCCGGATTCCACAAGCAAAATTTCCCGGATTCCGGAATCCACATTCCCTCACATAGGGCGAGCTGTCTATGGTTAGTGGCGAGAGAACCGGGCCTAAGAATCTCACGATACCTCATGTGGATACTTGAGTTCGTTGGGAGCTCTTGAAAATAAATAATGTAAGACTACACTATGGGGCAGGCTTTCACCAATGGATGGGTTATTTACGATATCCTCTGAAGTCTGAAACAGCAGCGGTCTGTGAAGAAATAGAAAAAGAGACCATGGTCAGTATTAGCAATTTGAGACATGCAATGTATTTGATTTTTGTGGTTGCAGCTTGTTTGTTTTGTTGAGGTCGTCGTTGTTGTTGTTGTTGTTTGATTTTACTTGTTTTGTTTTTTGTTTATAGTAATTTGTTTCTTGTTTGTTTGTTTGCTTGCTTGGTTTTATTTTGTCGTTGTGTTTGTTCTTGCTGTTGTTGTTGTTTTTTTTTTTCAGGCTGTGTGCCAATTTCCAACTTACAAAGTGTTCTATTAACCCTTTAAGTCCCAATGGTGCTCAAAATCAATTTTCTCCTAACGATATCCATAGACTATCATGAGCAGAGTCTATGAGAATTAACAAAATGATCACAAAGAGAAAAATATTTGATATTTTACCAAATTCTCTCAACTAATTCTTCAAGAAAATGTACGGAGGTCAGTTTGGAGAATTTGTATGTGGATTTTGGGACTTAAAGCGTTAAAGATCCCCAAAATGCTCGGGGTTATGTCACACAAAGTCTATATTCTGTTATAACTGGCCTTATAACTAGCCCATTAGTCCTTCTTCTGGAGATAGATAAATTAATAACTATTCTTTTTTCCAAGTGACGATTTTGTCGGTACCGTCGTCGTGGTCTCTTCAGAAACGACCTTAAACTGCTATGATATAGCAGCAAGTGAGGTATTGCAAAAGCGAAATACAAAAGCCACATCAACCACTCTAAAGCTCACCGAAATGATCTCAGAAGCTTGTATGACGTTCCTAAGTCAGACACTTTGTGGCATAACGGACCTACCGCGAACTCAATCTGAAACAACAACAAAAAATGAACAAGACAGTAGCTTCAGGATCACCCTGATGCATTGGCACGTTGATGTTTACTTGAAACATGCGATGACAATGACTGAGACTAACAATTAATATTTTAGTCACGATGCAAAAGGTAACGGACGGGAGGAAAAACCGGAGCATAACTGGCCACCTACCCTTCCCCTAAGTCACAATTTTGCCCTAAGTGAGAAGTAAGTGCTAATATTGACTTAGGGGAGGGGTAGGTAGTCACCCACCCAGAAACCTCTTATGATCCGATTGATTTACACATCTTACTTGTTCTCAAGTTTTCCTCTACGAGTCTAGATGTGCAAAATGTACAGCTTTTATGCAAAATGGAAGCCGCATCGATTAAGCAGCGCCTTTGGTATGGTACTATTTACCGCGGAAAGAACCACTGAACAGAACGTTGGATATATGGGCAAATTTTTGTTAAGAACTCTGTTAGACTGAAAGGGTTTAAGTGGGTTACCTGTGCCATGTCCGCCGCCAGCTTAAGCTTGCCCCCTTCTCCAATGGGTCTCAGTAAACTGGCGTGACGAACAAACAACTCGACAATTCGACACACAATGACCTCCAACCTGTATCAGGTAACAAAGACAGTCAGCTCTGCCCACACTTACTCGTTTCTGGCATTTTGCGCAACAAGTGGCGACCATAGACTGTTCTACGTGGTTTAGTTAAAACATTCACCCTGAAATGTTACAACCGTAAAATTCCGAAAATAAGCCTCGGGGCTTATATTTTTCAAAGGCCCTTTTTGAGGGGCTTATTTTTGGAGGGGCTTATATTCGGAGGGGCCTATCTACGGAGGGAAATTTGCGTTTCAAAATCGATTGAGCTAGCCTTATAGGTAGAAGTAAATTTACCATTTTTGCTTTGTTTTAATTTGTATTTGAGGGCAATTTTCCAAGTACAAGCCCCGGGGAAGCTTATATTTGGAGGAGCAATTTAACGGAGGGTTTTTTGCGTTACCGGTTTGGGAGGCTTATATTTGGAGGGGCTTATACATAGAGGGGCTTATTTTCGGAATTTTACGGTATGCTTCATAGGCCACGTCCACACGAATTCGGATCTTTTTAAAACTGTTTAAGATCCCGTTCACAAGAATCCGGGTAAGAAAATTTACGGTACGGGTTTTAAAAATGTCCGGATTTGTGTGGACGGGGAGGGGCCTAAAGCCATACAATAATAAAAAGGAACGTACCTTTCGAACATCATCTCTCTACACTCATATAGTGAAATATAGTTCTTTTGGACATGGATAATGAAATCCTAAAAAAGGAGAAAGAGGAAGAAAACTAATGCAGTTATTCAGATTGTTTAAGGTAAACTGGCACTGGGCATACACTGAGAGAGAATATCAGAGCTCCACTGTATAAAAAGACTAGGATTAAGGGAACAGTCAATTTAAATGCAATCAAGTCAGTAAATAAATTTATATAAAGTCTACTTGCAACCATTTAATCAATAAATCAATCGATCTTCAAACAGGAAACTAAGCAAACAATAAATTACTTAAGATATAAATTCAAGAAAGCAACTATTTAGTCAATGAATCAATCGACCTTCAATCCAGAAACTAAGCACAAAAATCAATTAATACAAATAAAGTAAAACGAGCAATGAATAAATCGCCCAATCAGCTAAACAGCCAGCTGGTCCGTCTAACAAAGAACACTGGCCGGCGTTGCGCCAAACGTAAATCGACGTTTTTACGATTCTGTCAAACTACACAAACAATTTTTTAAATGTTTCCTATCACCTGAAATGACAGCTGTCAGCTGTCAGCTACGGGCCCCTATTATGACCAACCTGCATGTCCTGTATGTAACTGGAACAAGGCGCATCCGGGTTATCAGCTATGTCACGTGATAGCGTTGAACTGAAAAGAGACGTTGAGTAAAATAAACAAACAAACAAAAAACAGCGACAGTTGGAAAATAGAAAATGGCGAAAAGCATTGTAGCCAGTCTTCATCACGCTCCAGGCCGCGTCCCCACCCCAGACTCCGCGCCATTATCTAATTCACACCCTTCACCAGTCTAAATTCCATTTCGAGCAAGCAAAAGCTTTTGTTTTTGAAGAATTTCTGATGGCTACCAGTTGCTTTTACCTTGTTAGCTGTAAAATACCAATTTGCTTTTTCAGCTGAAAGCTCATACGGTCATGTCTAAGTCATATTACTTTAGCGCTAAACGTCTGTGACAATTCGAACTAGAAGAAGACATCGCGTCTTCTTACACATTCAACGCACGAAAACTGTAAGTTCCTGGCCTCGGCTTTTAGAATTGTTCAGGTCTGTGACAATTGATGGGACATTTCTGTAATTTCCTACGACTAACTGTCTTCGAAATCATAAAGATTCACTTAACTTGTCGCGAAGTGTCTGATTCACTTGTCGCACCATTTGTATATTGTTGGCATATGTACGAGCGATCTCCAAGGGTAAAATGCAAAAAAAAAAAGATTATAAAAACCTGAAAAGTTGCGCACTTTTACCTTGAAAAGTCCTCCGAATGCATCTTGAAAATGAGGTTTTCTAAATCCAGCTTGACTGCCTCCAGGACTGGATCTAAGGCTGTGTTGATGAGCGCTACAATTCCCTAAAAAATACCATAGAAAATGAACGCTGTTGTTGGTATAGGCTGCAAGCAAGCTCTCCCACCCCCTTAACCTTTTAAGTCCCAATAGTGACCAACAACAATTTTCTCCTAACAATATCCATACACTGTCAAGAGATAAAGTCATGAGAGTTGATAAAATGATCATCAAAGAGAAAATTCCATGATCTTTTATCAAATTCTCTCAACTAATTCTTAAAGGAAATGTGTAGAGATCAGTGTGGAGAATTTCTACGTGGATATTGGGGCTTAAAGGGTTAACCCCGAGGCTATTGCCAGTAACAAACAATCTAGTGTCGGGATACAACTGGGTAAAAATTCAGGAGGCCAATTACATGAAACAGGAAACCTCCCATTTAGGATTCGGATAGGTAAGCTGTAAAGGAAAGGCGACCTCAAATTTTGAGCGACGATTTCACATATCTGATAGGTGATCACAGTTTCTATTTTATTAGCGTCATCATATAATGAAAAGCATATGATAACGAGGCTAAAAGTGTAAACAAAGATTCGCCTGTACCAGATAGTTTTTCGAGTCGGCACAAAAAGACTCAAAGTTAGAACCACCTTGATAAAATATGGACAGTACTAAAGGGAATTAGCGCCTAACCACTTTCATTTGAATTGTAACAATTTAGAAATTCAAATACTCAAGGAAAGATTTCGGGCAATTCGGGCTACAAAATACAATAATAATAACAATAAAATTTGGCGGGAAAATATACACGCGCACGCCATCTTTGGCGCGAAAATAGACAAATCCAATATTCGAGTCAAAAGAAGGGACAACAAGTATGAAATATTTAATAGATTAAAAGACAACTTTTGGGACACGCTTAACTGAGTTAGACTCACCTTTACCCTACGTAACCCATAGTAAACAACACCAAAGTGTATAAGTTTCAAAAACTAACAATCGTGTTGTAGAGGATAATAAAAAGATATAACGAAATAGCAATTCTCTGTAATCTAACGAGACAGTTCATGGTATTTGATAAGCCACTAACACAGACTAAACACAATTCATGGTTACTCAGTCTTCGAATTTCTTGAAGGATTTAAAATCCACTGAGTAAAGTTTTGTCAATCTAGCATAACAGCACGGCTAGGAATTGAACCGCACAAATAGATTCGTCAAAAAGGCTTTCAAAACTTTCCACAGACAGCGCATAGCATTCCAAGAAAAAAAGGTTTCTCCCCATTAATCAATAGAAGATTTAGGCCCTTTAATTCTTATCTCTGGATTATGAAGTTTGCTAATTTCTTCAATTAAAAACAAACCAAAACCGAATCCGAATTTATTCCAACAAAGTTGAAACTAATGTTTAACAAGAACATGGCTCGATATAAATGCTCTCTTATAGGACAACATAAAAGTCCACTAGTGTGAAAAAGAAAAAATGGTTGTAAAAGAAACAAAACTATAAACGATAGTCCAAATTGTAGTTTTGAGAACAAAGTGGCTGTCTAACAAAATCATACATTATGTGATACATTGTCTACGCAATGCGAAATTTGGAAATTCTGGAATCAATTAGAGATAAACCGCTCATTCATTTCTAAATAGTACATTACAAGATGTAAACTCTTCCAACAGATCAAGGGAGGCTTGTTAATTATGAATTACATAAGTGCTACACCTGGATAGATTACAGCTGAGCCAGATCGTTAAATCCGAACTGAAATTCATTTACGGAAGCATTTAATGTTACCCTATATTTTGAGACAGTTGATCCTATGGTGTGACCAGTTAAGGCTTTATACCCTAACACCAAAACTCAAATTCTCATTTGTTATCCCTATACGTTTTCAATAGAAGTAGTGGGGAGAATTTGTTGAAGCATCAATTAGATTCGTCTAGTGTGATCATGTCCTTAATTCTCATGACCACTCTGTTTTATAAAGCAGTGATATTACAAGGAGAAATTAATGCTCATCACTCTCAGGGCCTAAAAGATTAAATGAAACCTCTTCAGTATAGTACTTTCACATTGTACTATCTATTTAGTATGTAGTTCTAACTTTTAAGTCTGTGGACGAAACCCTATGATGTGACCATTCACATGAAACCTACTCAGCAAAACTTTCACATGGTACGACCTATTTACTTTAGAATCATCAGTTTGAATGAAAGTTTGAGTCTGTAGACAAAATATTTTCCTTATACCATTCAAAAGAAACCTCCTGGTGCGTTAAAACGTTCATATTTTCTTCAGTATTTTACAGATAAAAGCTTATTTCCTCTCGTCTAAGTTGTACTGAGAACAATCGAATTTGCAAAGGTTAGTTAACGCGCAGCGCAGCAAGTACCGCTCGTTAGTGGTCATTGCAATGATATTACATGTCGCACACACATCTTTAAACACAGACTAAACAGATCGAGCGCATCAATTATGAAGCGTACTCAGGTAACATGGCAAAATAAACAAGCTCTAAAGGATTAAACAGGTGATGTAGCCATTCATTGGAGGTTTATATGCTTTAATTATCTCACGAGGGCAGAAGTGCCGCTGAATCTGCGTCCGGGGAGGGAGGGGTGGGTGGGAGAGGGTTACAGGGACGACGAGGATTCTAGAACTTAAGGCAAGCTGATCATCCTGCACTTCAATCAATAAATAAAAGTAAAAGTAAATAAGCTAAATCTGTGGTGAAAAACATATGGGTAATCAAGCCTTGAGAACATGTAATTTAAAACAAGCTACTGAACATAGACATTTTGGTGATTACTGTGCCAGACCAGGTAATTCTTAACATTAAATTTGAGTTAAAGATTAATTTTCAAAATACAAAATCCAGTAACGATTACTTTCCACTGCATCGATGCTATCGGTGAGTCAACAAATAGAGCAAGAAAAATAATGTAATTGAGCCTGACATTATTTTTTTTCCCTATAGAGCGCGAAAATCATAATTGCTAAAGATATCCGTGCACGACTACCACGATCACACGAGAACGCAACATTTTCGTTAATTTCTTTTTACGCAAAGTAACCCCACTGCGTTACAATAATGAGGACAAATTTCGAATTAGAGAGACAAGGGCGCTGAAAATTAATTGCCCTTTACTTTGAAGGATAAATTGAGGCTTTCTGCTAAAGAGAGTATAACTGATGTAAAGGAGAGGAAATTAATTTAAATTTCTCCCCTACCAACGACGAGGTTCATCAAATTTAAGACAATGGCTATGAGTGTATAATTACTCAAAAAGCTACGAAAAAAACAAGCCGTTCGAATTAAGATTAATGATATGAAGACTCTAGCTCATTTGCAATTCAAAATAAGAGGGAATTTCCTTGACTGTCTCGGTTCGAGTAGATAATATTAAAAAAGGTTGAAAATTGAATGAACATGACAATTTGGGTTATTCTGAAAACTTGAAGAACATGGTGCTGAAGTTCCTCGACTGAGCAATCTTAAATGCAGTCTGAAATTCGCCTTGTCACTTATAACGAGGAATTATTGATCTAATTTTTCTCCAATTTTCGTGTTTTCGTTCGAAGCAGCGGGGCAGTTGAGGAGTTTTAGACCGCGAAACTGGAAAAGACAAAAAGACGCGACGACAAACGGCTGGAGTAAGATCACAGAGATTTAAAACGGCTCGTGCACGATTAGAATTTGATGAGGTCTTCCAAGGAGGTGAGAAAACGCTAATTCTTCATGTAAATTATAGTAAACACCACAATAAAACGAGTAGAAAATATATTTTAAATCCCTGTAACTTCGACCGGGAGCCTTGGTTACTGTAAGGAAATTTTATCAATTTTGAAACCGTTGTGAAGATCTTTTTTTAATCTCCCTTAATACAATTTAAACTAAAGGCACAACAAGGAGTGGACTAAATCGAGAAAATGGATCTTCGCGAAGAGAATTACGAGATTTTTTGCTGTAAGTAAAAAAGTAACATCCCTTATTTTCTCACTGAAAATGTAACTGCCTATGAATGTTTTTAGTCAAAAGGGAGCCGAAGAAGTCTTGTCAAGCCTAAAGCCCTCGAGGTGGCTTTTAGCCACGTTAGTTAGCGCTAGATCATGGAGCGACGTAAAAGGGACAAAAGGATTCTGAAAGGTTAAAAGAAAACATGCCGCATATATTAAATTGACAAGATTTAAAAACAGTAATGTAGAAGACATTATGTTGAGTACTGGCTTAAAAGGTTTACAGTTCTTGTCTTAACAGACAAAATTAGCGAACAAAAAAGATTATCAGATTTTGAAACCTTTTTAAGTAACGACAGCCTATAATTATGCCTTCAGGAGTTTAGCAAGGAAAGCTGTAAATACACTGATAAAGAAGTGTATATATGCTCCTTAAAACCAGAAATGGACAGTTGAAAAAGGTAGAAGTATTTTACTTGTCTCAAAAACCGAAAAAAATCGGGCGAAAGAAATAAAAAGTCACACTTCGCTGTGAATCATTATAATGCCGAGAATCGAAAAACACGGCAGGACAGCAATGCTCTGGCCTTAATTTGTATGATCAAACTGTGGTCTCACCCACCGTCTAGAAGTTAAAAAATAGAACACTGCTGAGAGGCGTCGTATTTTCGAGGTTGAGAAAAAATGGAAGTGCTCTTTGGCAACAAGGGCTTCGTCTACAAAAAGCTAAGTCTACCATAATCATGAAAACGCATGAAAACATTCAATCTGGGATAAACTAACGCCAGTTAGTTGGCAGCATAAAACTAGGAAATCTCCTACAATAAAGACAAGCAGAAAGGCGCGATAATTCGATTTAAAAAAATCATATAATAAATAAACTTGAACTTAAGTTAAATGAAATATGGAAAAGAAAGGCGAAACCAAAACAGGAAGATTTGACTGTAAGATACAGGTCATGTTTAAGGTATAATTCCATGGTGAGAAATAGAAATGTGACTTGTACATCTAAACAAATAACCATCACGCAAATTTAAATGCGTTACTGTCAATATAGCATACAATTCTCACGCAAAACTAACTTTCCAAACAAATTCTTAACCTGATTCTAGAACAAGTCATCTTTGCCGGCTATTAAAATCTCGTTTTGTTACAATTATTATTATTATTAGTTTTATACAGCATTATAATTGCTATCTTAAAGATCGCACTTCCAAAATAATATCTACGTAGAAACTGTCACCTCGGCTTTGGCAAACTCGCGGGTAGCGGAAACAATTGTCTTAATAAAACTGTCATTGAAACACGCGATCTCGGTCGCTTCCGATCGGAGTCTAGCGATGGAAATAACATTTTGTTACATATACTGTACTTTCAGGGATAATTTAATTAGTTGTCTAGTTTCTCCATGAATTTTTGTGCCATCAAAGAATGAAGAATAAAAATCTAGAGCAGCTGGAATTTGAAACAATAGCTTATGTTTACATTGAATTCTCCGAGACATCGGGAAGATATTTCGGAAGTATAAATATTTTGAAAATACGCTTTTCCTGTGCGAGGACGTGGGCGCCGGAAAAATCTCTTCTTTCGGAGTCATCAATGGAAAGTTCTTAAGTGGTCGCTACAGAGGAAAACAAAAATATTCTTAAAATGAACAAAGCAGCTGTCCAGCTGTTCTTAAATGAATATTTGATATGGCTAGCAATAGATGGAGTTGTATCGAACGTGAAATCGTGAAATCACTACGACGTTTTGTAAACAAAAATGAATAATCTCTTTGTTCGGAGTGGTCAATGTTCTTATGATACCGCCAAGGAAAATAAGAGTAACTATGTATTCAAGAAATGAACAAACAGCTGTCCAGATATTTACGAATGACCATTTGATATGGCAAGCAATGGACGGAGTTTTATTGCAAGTAAAACGAATGTCGTGATTGTAAATAACACCGTATAAGATATGCCTTCCGTGCGCGACCAGCTAACACATCGTTTTCGTTTCCCGGCCATTATTTAATTCGAAAGCATCGCACTTCTGTTATTACGCAAGTCTTACGGGATGTTTACATGAAGGAAGGAGGATCCTAGCACCAAGAAGATCCTAGAGGGTGGAACAACTTTTCGTCGGGTTTACATGGAGAAATTTCGGTCCGTGCGGTTACCAAGGAGAGAAGCAGCGGGAATTAAAGATGACGGGCGACAAAAACAAAAATGCAATTTGGACCCTTCTGCTCTCTTTACTGACCTTAAAAACTACCTTTCAGCAGAATATTTATCAACTTCGTGGTGACACCAAACGAAATGTTCGGCCTTTACCGGCCGTGATTACCCACTGAACGACCCGCTGCTATTTTTGTCTGGTTTGTTCCTAGTACTAGGATCTTCCTAGCGAAAGCAGTTTACAAGTAATGCAGAAAAAACATATGGCGCTAGGATGTTCCGCCTTCTAGGACTTTTCCCCCTTCATGTAAACAGCCCCTTCCTCAACCCTTTAAGCCCTAAGAGTGATGAAAATCAAATTTCTCCTGGTAAAATCACTGCTTTATAAAACAAAGTGGTCATGAGAAATAAGGACATGATCACACTAGATGAATCTAAGTGATACTTTAACAAATTCTCCCCAATACTTCTATTGAAAACGTATAGGGATAACAAATGAGAATTTGAATTTTGATGTTAGGGTTTAAAAGGGTTAAAGGATGAAATGAAGAATAAAGAACAGCGTCAGCCTGGGCAAACTCAAAGCAATAAAAACGCACTACAGAATGGCTCGGCCGCAAAAACTCAAAAGCGCTTAATATACCTCAGTCAAACACCGCGCTTTACTATACCCTATAAGAAACATTGAAGATTTACCACGGAACCAAGTTATCTCTTACCTGTAGATCACTGTTCGTTATATCTATCCCACCCCACCCCCACCCCCCAAAATAATAATCAATAATAATAATAATAATAAATAAATAAACAAATAGTTTCGGGTCAGGCTCATTCATATATAAGAATCGGATCATTCTGAACAGTTTCTGTTTTCTCCTTTCCTAAGTTGACTAAATTATCAACTTGCATCTCCCCTCTTCCGTGTGTTCGCCATAACGATATCGACTCCTTAAATCTAGTAAATTCAATATGGCCGCCGTATCGGTAAAAAGGTCCATTAAGCAACGCGAAGTGGTTCTAACATCTAAATGGTTTCGTACCTGTAAACCAGTAGTTATGGCATCCACGGCTACTGCAGAGGGAGACCTAAGACCATCTACTATCTGAGGACAAAAATATAGGACGAAAGACAAGTGCAATTGTTTCTCTGCTTATGACCATTACTAATCAATGAATGAAGAGTCGTGGATGAGAGCTTGACAACAGACGTGTTCACTTAACGTTACACAGTTGAACCTCCATTAAGCGGCAAGTAATCAAAGTCCCGACATATGCGTAGAAAAAAATGGGAACTTAGACCTCTATTAAGGGGCCACCTCTAATAAGCGGCCGCGGCCAAATTTTGGCCGTCCCCAAGGAAATTTCTCCCATTGTTGTCGCCCTATCAAGCGGCCATCAAGCGCTTTAAAATACGCTTAATTTGGTTTTATTTCAAGAATATGACTCCCGTCGCGTGTTTGTTTCAATTGAAAATAAAGTGATGTTTCTGCTAAACAGTATCGTGGGTTCTTTCGAGCGGCCAACCTCCATTACGCAGCGTCCCCTTTAAATTTGACTACTGAAGGAGACAAGGCCAACGGCTTCATGTCAACGCCAAATATAGCGATCACCTGAACTGAAAGAAGATTTAAATCACAGCCTACATGATGTTTTCAGTTTTTTAAAGACCCTGGTCGTTGGCCCGGCCGGGGTTTGAACCCACGATCTCTCCCAGCTGAGCTAACCGGACGTCAATTAAGACCCTGCACTAGAAAAAATGATCAGTTTTACAGCTTCAAGTGTAAATTTCAATCATAACATGTAAATATCATATAAATCACCTCAATATAACTGTAAATAAAAACATAAAAAAGTACAAAAAGCTAATTTCATACGCGTAGCAAAGGGAGGCAATTGACCACTCCAGAAAATACCATAACATACCATAATGCTCTTTGCTTGTCACCCCAAAATTTTGCATAAGCAATGTCTTCAGTTTCTCTTGGGACTTAAATGGCCCCAAGAGAAACTGAAAACAATGCTTTAATATGCAAGGTTTTGGGGTGACAAACAAAGAGCATTATGGTATGTTATGGTATTTCTGGAGAGGTCAGTTAGTGGTTGCCTGATCGATAACGTTACCTTGATAACGGACTGACGCAGTTGAAATAAGCTGTTCACGATGGCAGCATTCTTCTGCTGCGCAGGACTCGCTTGATCATATAACTGAGTCGCTTCCACACTGGTAGCAAGCTGGTAAAGGAAATTGAAATATGTTATAGTCTCTCTACAGAGATTCAATTGCATTGGTATGAACGTTAACGCTGAGATAGGAAAAAGTGTCATGAAATCTATAGAAAACCATTGAGGCTAAAGAAAAAAAAACTAACTGGACTTTTTGTTGCTGATGTTATCAGACTGTTAAATAACTAACAAAACATTAAATTCTTTTATTTTATATTTTAATTTTTTTACCTCTACTAATTACTCAATGAAGTCACAAAGCTGTGTTATATCCATTACTACATATTCGGAAATATTAAGTGATTTGAGCAGTTCATTAATATAGATGAAAGACATTGATTATAACTGAAGCCTATACAAGGACAATTATGTTATAATAGGGAGCTTAAGCAGCGACGTTTTTGAGCGACGCACGTCAACCGGAAGTGAGGTATTTTCCCTCTTAACATGCCTTGATGATATAAAATTTGTATTCCTTAGCTTCTTTACTGTTATGGAGGCGATTTGACTGAAAATTTGCGCGAAACTACCGTCAAAAAATGAAAAAAGGCCACTTCCGGTTGACGTGCGTCGCTCAAAAACGTTGTTGCTTAAGCTCCCTAATGAAGGCTCTATTATACGCAATTCATGGCCCTTTTGGGGACCATTAAGGAGTTCATAGCCGCCCTCTAATTTAAAAGTATTTCATTGTTTTCATCAGAAACAAAGTTAGCACAGGGAACCTCACACGTCGCCAGTAGCTATTGGTTCTTTTGCCCTCTTCTTTCTCGCCGAAAATGCGTCAACACTGTACAAAGTCTGTATCGCCAACACCGCAGACGATTTAAGGAAACAGGAGATGGAAATAAGACGAAACACAAAAACTCTTCTGGTGCGATTGGTCACGCTGACCGTTTATCTCACATCGGGTGCAGCCATATTCTCGGTGATCGAACATGATGGTTCTTCAAGCGACCGACATTTCAGCGAGAAAATAGACCAGATAAAAGAGAACATGACACTGAGATTTAACGAGACACTGGACGTTATTAACCAGTACATCGAGGAGCTGCGATTGCTTTTTGAAGAAGCTCACAGGTGCAAGTATAGTCACAATGACTGGAGTTATTATCAGTCGCTGTATTTCGTTGGCAGTGTGACCACCACCATTGGTAAGATAGCTTTAACCCTTAAGCCCCGATCTCCACATGCAAATTCTCCAGACTGAATTCCATACATTTCCCTAAAGAATTAGTCAAGAGAACATCAAAAAAGATCAAAGCATTTCCGTTCAGTGATCATTTTATTTATTCTCATAACCCTTCACTTGATGATGTATTGACGTTGTAAGGGGAAAATTGATGTAAGTCACTCTCAGGACTTGAGGGTCAAAGATTTTGAGATAACTTCCAATTATACAAATTAAGGGAGCTCTCTACGCCATACATCCTTGGAAGCCGGGGTCAATAAAATAGAACCATTACGTGCGATTACAAGCGTAATTGACAAGTGTAGCTATTATTATTTATTATCTGAAAACAACAGCTATAAAAGAGTAAATTGCACGTTTAAAAGTTGTATTGAATTTATCCTAGCTCTAATTGCTATACCTAACGAAGTCTTAAGCTATCACAGAATTGAGCATTCTGGGTAGGCTGAAATTCAGAGGACTAAAGTACAGCCCCTGACATCAGTCACAGAGAGGAGCATTGAGTGGACCTTCAAATTCACTGAAGGAGGCCAGATGGAAAGAAAAAAGTTCACTGATTCGCTCCATGTAAGGGAATACGGATTCTGGAATCCGGAAAATTTTGTTGTGGATTCCGGAATCCTGGGCTTTGGAATATGGGATACAACTCAAGGAATCCGGAATCCTACAGACGATTGGAATCCAGAATCCAAGTTATACTAACCAATACTAAAATCCAGTACCTGGAATCCGGAATACAGCTCAAGGAATCCGGAATCCAGTACCTTGAATCCGGAATCTATGGCGTGGAATCCAGAATCCAAGACTGTCGTGGATTCTCTTATGGGACGAGATGATAATTTATTTGTATAATCGTAACATCTACTGGACCTCACACCCCCATCCCATGACTGCCTCGCGACAAGTGCTAAGTTTTTAGTAAACTCTTTACCTGTTTCTTTACAGGCTATGGACATCTAGCCCCTAAAACACAGGGTGGCCGCTTGTTTTTAATATTCTTCGCCCTGTTTGGTATCCCCCTGAATTTGTTAACTCTTCAGTCACTTGGTGAACACATCAACTTCGGAATCCATTTATTGATCAAATACTTCGAGAAAGCCGCTCTACAGCGCGATGCACCGACACATGAACACATCAAATGCTTCACTATAACCGTGCTGCTTATAGCTCTATGGCTGCCCTTGGGAGGTATCATGTATTACTACTCAGAGAGAGAATTTGGCTGGACTTTTCTAGATTGCGTCTATTACTGCTTTGTTGCCTTGAGTACGATCGGCTTCGGAGATCTGGTGCCGAATGAGGGCAAGGAGCCAGACTCGTCATACGAACGAGGCATGTGGATCGTGCGCGTCATGTACTTGGGCTTAGGCCTCTCGCTTCTTTCGAGTGTCTTCACCTCTGTCTGTAGTGCGGTGAAGGAAATTCGAAGTCTGATGCCGTGTAAACGAGGTAAGTAAATAAGTTACCCAAGCTTCTGTTACTTCTGGTTCTGTAGAGCATGAAAGCTAGGCTATAACTAAATTACAACTAGCAGCACTGACTAATTGGCGAGGTGCTAAGATTCTCCAGGTTCGTCTTATTATTTAGCAATTCAGATTCCACTTTGGTTGCCAAGTATAGAATACTGTACCATGTAATTTGCCGTCTACATGTGTAGTTAGAGATCACAGATGACGTCGAAAACGTGGTAACAAGATAGACAAGTCCAACGAGCCGCAGGCGAGTTGGTCAGCGGACACACGGTAAAATGCTGAGCAGCAAAGCAGGACTAACAGAAAGAATACGTTTACCACAAAAATTACATTTCCGCGTCAACCAAATCGTTTTTCGTCTCGAACTTTTCTCCTGTATTCTTGTCCTTTTCCTTTCTTATTTCTGGGGGCCTTGACTTACTTATCCATGAAGTACTCTGGCAGAATAGCTGCTAGCCAATTCAGCGTATTCTACGATTCCAATATTGTGACTATAATCCTTCCTAACTTGTCTTTCTCTTTAGATAGAAGGTGTAGGCGTCCCACATACATTTGAATCTGGCGTGAAATCCTTCTTCTCCAGGTGATGGGCTCGTAATATTCCTCACTCTTATTTAATAATTGCACGCAGCTAGAATTGATTGATAACTAATAATTCTGTTTCCTTATAATTTGGTTACACTATGTCTTAATCGCGACTCGTTTCCTGCCTACGTACACTTCTAAAACAACCTTACACAAAACCATATTTTCGGCAGGGGTTTTCATAGACACTCGTGTCTTTGAAATAAGGTACTATCTAAATTTGTTACAATTTTTCACAGCGGATGTCTATAGGTGTTGGTCGTATCTGTTATTCTGAAATAGTTACCTTTTTATGAACCATAACAGCGCTAAAATATAAAACGAGTCCAAAGAAATCCAGTTTCCAGAGGCCGAGATGCCCCTGATAAAATTAATAGGGGCGGCTGATCAGCATTCGCCGGTGATAGCGCGAAAATTTCTGCCTTTGAGCCACAGGAGCACCAGATTAGGATGCGTTCTGACGAACGCGACTACGCAATATCTTTCTCCATCCAAGTGTATAAACCTTACTTGACTCGCACTATTACTACTAATTGCTACTGTCACAGTTAAAGAACAAATATGCAGATGGCTGGACTGCGCTTATGAGGGTATGACATCCTATGACACGAGACTACCAACACCCTTTGAAACCACTCGCCTGTAGACAGTAAAGAGAGATCTAACCCTTTTCCTTTCAGAGTGCATTGTGAAGTATTATAAAGTGGTTGTAACTTTTGCGTCTATGAATGAAATCTCATGGTGTTACCATTTAAATAAATCCTCGTCACTCATTTTTTCACGTGCCACTATTCATTTAGCAGCATTTTGCAAAATGAGATTTCCCAATCTTGCCGAGTTTTGACTTTAACCGCTCTCCTGGGAATGAAAGGGTTTAGATCGATGAGTAGGTTTTCATGTAACTGATAGGTGGCCAGCTGGGTGAATTTTCAATCGCTGACGTAACTCACTAATCAACAGATTCTATGTACGAGCTTCACAGCACGGATCAAAGAGAGCGAACTCCAAAACCAGAGACCGCTTTAAGGGAGATACTTAAGTCATCCAAGCGTTATTCGTCTACTGCGTTAGGACAGAAAGACTGTTTAGCTGAACCAAAACTTAAAAGGCAGGTAAAGCTGCAAGAGGTGGACTGCAATGGGGCGTATTCTAATTCTACAATTGAAACAAACGTACAAGAGCTGGAGTGTCCGGGTTACGTGGACGCGGAAAATTTAAATGCAGAGGAGGAGAGAAAAAAGGCAGGTTTAGGAAAAGTAAAGGACGGAGATGACATTCTTCAGGACGGTCTCGAAGATTCAGAAGAGACCACTGACTGAGAAAGAAAAGCAATGGAAGTAGGAGACACGATTAGAGAACAGAAAGACAGGTTTCCGAGTAGGATCAGAATTAGTTTCGCTGGTAAAAAAACTGGGTTTTAAAAGGGGTAAGGATGAGGGAGTTTGAAACGCTAGCGTTTTGCGGTTCATTGCCAAACACAAGCGACTACAAAATATCAATGCTAAAGAAGAGAATGAGGATTACACGAGAATGTACAAGGAGAAACGGCCGAATAAACGAACCTACAAAAATGTCACCCTTGGAACTAAATAATATCAAGGAGGAAAACCGTAAAGGATACAGTACAAGTTTACTAAATATAGATTGGAACATGTGATAGAAGAGTTTGCTGCTGCTTTAAAATTATCACCACCAGATTTGTGCGAGGAAGCCAACAATAATAATTGAAACCCGTATAAAACATAGGTATAACAAGATCATGAAATTCTTAAGAAACAAAGAAAGTTTGGATCGGTTATTACAACAAAGTTTAAACTATGTTAAACATAATCATGTTCAAAGCAATTTTCAACATTGTTTGCTGTTAACAGTGTCAAGAAGGCTTGCGGTCCAGGCTCGAATTTATGTATCAACTGAACATACAAATAGATATGGAGGCCCAGTGAGTACCTAACGAGGGGTCTACATGTAAGTTGGCCTTCATTTAAATAAATGGCCATGGGTAAAGGTGTTAAAACCAATAATATATTTTTAAAAGATTTAAAAGTAAATTCTGTGGAGCTTTAAAGCGTTTAACTCACTAGAAATAACAAGAATTAAATTTGCAAGACTAGCACTGTCATAACAGACAAATTTAAGAAAAAACCTAACAAATGGTAACTAAACCATTAATCTCTCTCTCCCCACACAGTCCCCTTCAATTCATACTTGACTGGTCCCAATGTTAATCAGAACATGCAGTCTTACCAGCTGTTCGCACTTGGCCGAGTAGAGCTGGACAGTTTTCGCCACGTTTCTCGCCACTGTTATTGTCAGACCAGCATCTACACTGGCTACGCTCAGCTCACTAAAAAGGGCACAAGACAGAATGCATATACAAGTATGTCATACCATCAGTCATACTACCGTGTGTAAACAAGACGTACACTTTAAAAAACGTTTGAAAACCTTTAAGCCTCTTGGTTCTGCCAACGGTGATGGCACTGAAGAAGGAAAAAACTCGCGGCAAAGACGAAATTTGCAAGCGCGGAAGCGGCGATTTTCTGGAAAAATTTTGAAATCTGGGCCTCTTAGAGTGCATTTCCAGCTTTCTGGAGCAAAAATTAGAGGGTTTGTAGGGAACACAGACATCAAATTTATTCCGTGACAGCACACGAATACCCTATTTAAACTGGGGTGACTTCCAAAGAAAATCAGGCGGCGAGTTCACGTGAAATCGAAATTGACTACCGTGTCGGAGGGGAAATGGAACGGGGAAAAGCTCCCTTGTCCCTAACCACATTCTCCGGAGAGCTTGTTTACTGGCTATCCGAATCCAAACGTCCTCCCCAACCCAGACCAACCTCTAAAGGAACAGGGGTTCTGATCTCCCACCCCTCAACTAACGGGGACATCCGCTCACGTGAAACTTCCTACAATTTGGGCTAGAGGGGTCACAGCGAAATGAGGTCACCAGAAACAAAAGCCTCCGAAAGTGGAAGCAAAAGCTTGTCATTAAATCTTAAGTTATGATCTTGAAACCGTATGTTTCTCGGTGGATTTAAATTTTGATTGCGACTTAACTTTACCTGCCAATTGTCTTTGCAATGCTAGTCAGTTCTTCCTTTGACGGTGGGTTGCGCGCTCCAGACGGGAACACGAGGTTAATAGGATCAAATAATCTGGACAGAGACCTGGATAGGTAGGCAGTTTCAAATGGGGCAAGGCTTTTCTTCAGGGCTTGTTCAGGACTGAGGTAGAAATACCAAAAAGTAACGATAAGTTTAAGACTACAAGTAAACCTATCTGGATTTAAAACTAAGTTTAACAAAGCAAAACAAAACAAAACAAAAAACACAAAGGCCATAGATAGACAGACACTTTATAAATGATAATTAAGAAGCAGCAAATTTGATGAGGAACATGTTAATATTGCTTAATTTTGTCCCTCTGTGCCCCCTCCCCCTCCCCCCCCGGGGGGGGGCATCCAATTGGCAGCCGGAGAGCTGAACAGCTTGGAAGTTTGTCTATTTTCATTTTTTCTTTTTCTATAAGAGTTACGGGGTTTATGCTCATCATGCAGTATTAGCCGGGGGAAATCCCCTGCCCCCGGCCCCGACACTCTTTAGCGACTTCCTTCTACCGTCGGTGTGTATATGCTTTGTTGGCTTAATGTAAATAAACCTCCTCTATTTTATCCCGTTGAGAACCAAGATCCACAAACAAACTCTCCAGACTGATCTCCGTACATTTCCTAAAAGAATTAGCTGAGAAAATTTGACAAAAAATCAAAGCTTTTGCCCTTTGATCACTTCACTGATTCACGTACCTTTATTCTTTTTTATGTTTGGAGAAAATAATATTGATGATGGTCACTATTGGGACTTAAATACAAACACTTACAAACCTTAAGCTAAAGTCGTCCTCTGATGCTGGGAAAAGACCAAAAGAAGGCTCTAATTGTATTCCAAGAGACACGGAGGTAGAGTTTGAAGCACTGCTATATTGTTGTAAGCGAGTCCATAGGTCGTTGTATAACCGCAGTAGCTTGGGATATTCTCCCTCAAATGCTTGCTTCAAGAATGTCGAGGCTAAAAGAAAGAAAACGATACCATTCATAGCTGAAAATGTTAGGTATTCTGAACACAAGTATAGACAGATCCAACTGACCTTGGGCTGCCTGTGCAAATTCCTGGGTCAAGGTCTGTGTCACCGAGTCCCAGAAAGAAGTAATAGAAGAACTTCCTTCCTACAAAGAGACAATTTATAAGGTATTGTGGTTAAATGGGTAAACAGCTTTCACTTTTAAATTGGAGTTCATTCACAGACTATCCACCAACGGTACAGTGACCACAGTTTCCGTGTATCTACAGCGAAGAAACCCCACAGCGAAGAAACGTTAAGACAGGACACAACGGTACCTAGTGAGAAGTTTCTTTCTGGCGTCGCTTTTAGGATTTAGCATTTATTCTTCGCTTGTCAGTCGCGTAGTTAGTTTATTTACGCCACGAGAGAAACCAAATACGCGACTGACAAGCAATGCAAACGACTTTGTAAATGCCACTGAAAAGCAATGCCAGAAAGGAACCTCTGCTTATATACTGATACATGTTTGTACGGCATTAAAGGATCTGGTTTTGAGCAACTTTGGTCTGGGAACGGGTGTGGAGTTGACTATTGTGGTCTGAAATCGGGCATGGTTTTCAAAGAAAACACCGGGGGTGGGGGTTAAACGCAGTTGTCAGTTGTCTTTTCAGCTCTAAATGAATATTTAACGTCAAATTATAATACTAAATATGGGTCTGAAAGTAATAGTTGAACTCTGTTTGCCAAAGCCAAAAAACAGGTCCAGGCTAGGTCTGAAAACGAATGTGGAAAACGACGTGTTTAGGTCTAAATGAAGGTCAGGATTAGGAGAACCGGGCAGCACACACCGAACAAGAATTCCGATGATTGTCTCCCGGGAGGATAAGAAAAGATAACAAACACTGTACCTTCACCAGTTCTTCCATAAAGCAAACATGTGTGACAGGATCCCTTTTCTTTGCTAAAACCTTTTGAAGATGATGAATCTATAACCGGAAATAACAGATCTAAGTTAAAATTTAGATTCACGTGTTTCATAGCCGGAGTTTTCCCAACAGCACGTGCTCTCTCCCTCGTTGGTTACTTCGAGCTCACATGACATCTGGCGATAAAGTGTTTCCCGCCAAAAGCAAAATCTGTGACGTCAGAGGTTAACAGTTGTCGAACTTGACTTCCAAAATTGTTGACCAATTGCTAAGATTAGTTCCGTAATTTGCACACGCAGAATTTTTTCCCCAGCATGCTATATTACGAGAAACTTTGAGACTAGTCCTGTTTTCTTCAAGACCAGTCCTGAAGTGTTGTATACTGTTTTACAATGGACCTTTTCAAGAACAGACCGACGAAGGCAAAGGGGAGCGTCAAAGATGCCACAGGTTTAATGAGCCAAACAACCAAAAAGCGTGCTGCACGTGCAAAGTTGTGACAACCTTGCACGTGCAGCACGCGTTTTTCTGCCTCAGCACGGCTACGAGCAAAAAATGCCTCATTAAGAGTTTTACGGACGACGTAAACAAGCAATGACAACATTTTCTTTCTCTTTCTAAACTGGGATATGGCTGAGCCGTTCTTTGGAATTCAACACCAGGAGAGTTCACCTACATTTGACAAAGTAAGTGAGTTGGAATAATCGCGGTGACCACTGAAAAAAACAAAGCGAAGATTCACGTTTTAAGCGAACTTTTCGCCGCCTTCGCCACCAGTGTTTGTGTTTGCTTTTGCATTTGTAGTTTCGTTTGCGTTGCATTTATGTAGTCGAAAAACTACCTGCCACAACATCTTTATCAAGGACAGTTTCTCACCGGCATATCATGGTAAGCGTTACCAAAAAAAATATAAAAGACAAGATACACGAACACAACACTATCCTGATAAACATGTACATGTTTACCTGGCCACATGCCGAAAAAATGGAGTCCATAAGCTGTTCCATTCTAGTCCACAATGTTGCTCGCCATGCCGCTGTGTTACCAGGGGTAGGCATGGCGGCACGGCCCGGTCCACCAGCGCTTGAGTTGGCAGCCTGAGAGAGAGTATTATGATCCAAAGCTTCTTGTACACAACTTGCTAACTTCTCTTTAACTTTCCTGACAACTTCATTGACTGTGCTAACTAGTAAACCTAGGTTGTAGAATACTTGCAGAGCAGTGCCTACTTGGGTTTGGTTCTGAAACAAAACAAAGTAATATGATGTTAGACTGTTTACAGTCTAATATACCATTTTTTTCGGTCGAGATCCAACCAACATGGCCGCCCGCTACTCTCGATATTAGATCTTACGGGAAAAAATAGCGGCGGAATTCAACGATGTAACTTCTGCGAAATAACTCTTCGAAAAAGCAAATAATTACTACCTAGAAATGTGTAGAGACCGAGAAAGGCTACAAATCTGAATAACGTTCCATACGTCTGATACTCCGAGATTTTCTGCTACAGAGGAACCTGTCCTTTAGAACACCTTTATTCAAGAAAACCAAAGATAAGTTGCCCAATAACCCACAAGCGAAGCGTCGCTTTAAATACTTATCGTGTATAAATAAAGATTATTGATTGATTGATTATTGATTTTACAGTTACAGTTGGAAACGAGGCTAAAGATAATATAACCCTTCTTGCTTTATCATGTAAATCATGTTGTTGTTATGCTAACTAGTTGTTTTTAAGCAAAATTTCCATTAGAAAAGGAAGGAGGTTTGTATCAAAACAAGGTCAACCTCAGCCTCACGTTCACCCAAAGGCTACGACACCAAGCCCACAACTGTAAAATGGACTATTGTCAACAACGACGATCAGTCTGGGTTCCAAGTGGTTTAATATATAGTGTAAAAAATTCAAATCCTTACAATTATGGAAAGAGGGTCCATTGAACGGGGGGGGGGGGTGGGGAAGCTTCATAGATTTTAACAGTTGAAAAGGGCACCGAGATCATGTCACCTGTGTCTCCATCCCTTGTGCCAGCATCCTCTGTGCTTGGTTTTCAACATCTTTTCTTGCTTTGGCAGCGATCTTAAGGTCATTTTCCACAGCCTGAAATAAATTATGTACTCACATAAACAGATTTAAATTTAAGGCGTTTGAAGCATGTTAACATGGACGGTTAACTCTAAATTATACTGTAATTCAGCCGAACTCTTCACATTCAAACTTCCAATGCAAACTAGATTGAAGTCAGTCCCCATTCTTCAGTCATTCTGTGACTTTGCAGACACTTCTCAAAAAGAGGAAAGGTTATAACTCTTAAAGCCTTAAACTCTTAAACCCTAATATCAAAATTGAGATTCTCATTTGTTGTCCCTATCCATTTCATACAGAAAAAGGGGGGAAAGTTGATAAAATATCAAGCAAATTCATCTTCTTGTGATCATTTCTGTAATTCTCATGACCACTCTCTTTTACAGAGCACTGATATTACAAGAAGAAATAATTTGATGCTGATCACTCTCGGAGCTTAAAGCCTCAAGAGTGATGAGCATCAATTTTCTATTTGTAATATCTGCTTTATAAAGCATAAATTTCGGTCATGAGAATTAAGGAATTGATCACACAAGATGAATTTCATTTAATACTTTAACAGCTACTCCCCACTACTTCTATAGAATGTGTATAGAGACAACACATGAGAATTTAAACTTTGATATCAGGATTTAAAGGGTTAAAAGAGAGCTGACTGCCAAGTATTGACCACATTGCCTGTAAAAAGGATAAAAAATTCAGCAATTCTAAGAAGATAAAATTAATGATCAATAGTATAAATAATTGTTGCCCCTTTTAAAATCTAAATGTGGTAGTTAAACTGTTCTAAAATGCATGCAATTCCACAACAAAAACATTTCTAAACCACAATTAAATCCTATACCAGTTGCAGAACATAATAATACTTAATTAGGAAGAGTCATCCACAATGTGAACACAAATACTTACATGTACAGGATGAAATTGATAGTAAGGAAAAAATAAATACAATGTAAGTAAACCCTAGCCTGACTATCAGTCATTTCTGGGGGAACTGGCAAAAATGGGGGATCAATTTAGATTTCAGGGAAACTGCCCACCTACCCCTCCCCTAAGCTCACATTCTCACTTAGGGAAAAATGATGGCTTAGGGGAGGGGAAGGTGGGCAGTTTCCCAGAAACCCAAGAGAGAAGCAAAAAAGGGATTCCCTACCAGTTGAAATGTATGGCTGTACACGTACTACAAACCTGAATTCCAGAAAGGTCAGCTCCTTGAACAAGGTAATCTAATATGAACAACGGAAAGGTCTATGAGTACAGTATGTATACATACAGTCATGTACATGCAAGCAAAACTGTGAATCATAGAAAAAATCACATGGTCTGACCCAGGTTTTTTCAATAGCCCTTGGCAAATCATCTCCTTGTCTTGAAAAGATATATTATCTGTAAATCAAGCATCCAACTGCCCACTGCAGCAAGCTTTGATTTCTACAAAGTTAATGTATTAATCCATGATAGTGTGTAAGGAGGATAAAAGTATGTGAACGGTTTCTTTGTATCACTGACATACAGTATTGTCCAGCACTCTCATTTTCTTTAACTCTTGAAGCCCTAAGAGTGATCAGCGTCAAATTTCTCCTTGTAATATCAATGCTTTGTAAAACAGAGTGGTCATGAGAATTACAGACATGATCACACAAGATCAATTTTCTTGATATTTTATCAACTTCTCCTCAATACTTCTGTAAGAAATGAATAGGGGCAACAAATGAGAATTCAAATTTTGATCTTTGGGTTTAAAGGGTTAAACTCCAGTAAGGGGTTATAATAGAACCTTAGCAAACTTAGTAAAATCAATACAGCATACGTGTAAATATGCACACAAATTGCACTCTTTTTTGCACCAACAATAAGGACTTCCAAAAACACAATTCTCAATTCTCAATGCTGTTCAAAATCAAGGCAATCATAGTCATTTTCACATCAGTATTTTACTATTTTGTGGCAACAATGTCTTGTCCAATGCCAACCGCAACTTTCAATGACTTTTAAGCCCTTAAATACAGTTGACACCCGACAACTCGAACCCTCGCTAACTCGAACCTCGCGCTAACTCAAAGTACATGTAGTTTTTGTTTCCCCTCAGATCATTTCTACATAATTTTCCCCTCAATAACTCAAACCATGTTTTGAGCCCTTTAAAAGTTGCCAAAAAAAACAGTCTACTAGCGTCCCAAACATTGAATTGAATTTCCCATTGACGTGTTGTAGGCATATAGTTTACTATTGAAAGGTTGATATTGTTTGTCACAAATCTAACATGAAACAGCTTTTTACTTCTCAAAACAGTAAAATGCATGCTCTATTTAGGTTTACAATGTTTTATTACATTACGTTCTGATTTATAATCTAGAAGTATCTTTTAATTTTCACTTGACATTTCTACATTTTTAAATGTGATTACTCCCGGCCATTTTCTTCAAGCTCCCAATAACTCGAACTCCCGATAACTCGAACCTTTTTTTGATTTCCCTTGGAGGTTCGAGTTAGTGGAGTCAACTGTATTTATTTTGAAATTCAAGGACAATTAAGCAGGGGCACCCAATGACAGATTCATCTAAAATGCATTGAAAACACTTTTTGGACTATCCAGTGAGAGGACTTTTAGATTTTATATCTAGAAATGCATTCTAACTAAGCTGCACTATAAAAATTAATTTGTATCTTTTCAGTCATCCTAGGGCAACTTAAATCTTTTCAAAATTAGGAGAGCTTCAGTATTATTTTCCCAACAATTTTAGATGCCATGTGGAGTTTTTCAAAAGTAACAATTTTTCGAATTCCTCTCTTCATCACATTTTCAAATCCGAAAATTTTAGGTTTCCTTTTTCTACCCCCCCCAAAAAAAAAAAAAACAGCTTAACCTGGGGACTGAAATGCAAAAAATTAAACTTAAGAAAATCATAGGGAATTTATTAGATAAGCTTTGAAAATTGTACTTGAATGGAACGGACATCTAGAAAATTTTAGCCTCCTTAAGCTATAGAAAATTCTGGGCAATTTTTGCTCCTCCAAACAAATAATTATTTTACAGAAACCCTGTCAAGGTGTCAGCAGACACTGAAATTACAAGTGACTTCTCCCGTAAGTATAATTCTTACCCAATTCACTGAGATTCTGTGCTGCCTTAGTGATCTCTCGAGCTCCTCCCTGCAAGTGACTCTGTAGTCGCTTGGTAAGGTAAATAACTCTGATGACTCGTCTTAAAATATCACATGCTTCCTGTCATTAAATGAAAATTACCATCAAACTGTAAGTATAATTGGACAGGGAAAATAATGATAAAATTAGCTGGAGTCTTTTAACATTTTCAGGTGCTTGTCAACCTACAGTGTATCAAGTTGCCATCAGAGCGGCTAGATTCACATTAGTTTTGTTAACTAAGTTGATGAAGTTAATTTACCACCTTAAAATACTAAAAGCCGATGACGTCAGTGCTTGGATGGCTAAAACCTAGGTTACAATGTACATATGAGGTGCCAAAAAAAAAAACTTAAATTGAGACTGGTTATCAAAGGCAGCAAGCGTCAAGATAACTCTAAAAACAAGGTTGCTGCAGTTTATTTTGAGAGCTCGCTGACGATGCACAATCCCTTGTTTTTTGTTCACAAATCAGGGCTGTCACTAAAAGCTGGGGGCCCGGGATTTTCCCTGGGTACTAGAAGCGTGAGCCATGACTACTTTCATAGGAAACAAAAGAAAAATAGAACCAAAACTACTTCTTTGCTGTACAATTCCCCTCCTACTAATCACATAATAATTATGTTATTAGTAGGAGGGGAATTGACAACTGACAACTTCAAATGTTAGCGACAGCCCTGCAAATTGTAGCAGAGCAAATTAATGAGACATTTTTATTGGTGGGACTAAAAATGATGGGAATGCTATTGGATGTTGTGCACTGTCAAGCAAGGTTTTAGCCAGAAGGGTGTCCAGCCGTCCTGTGGACGCTCATTTATGGAAGAATTACGAGGAAAATTCACTTAATCTCTTATAATTTTATGGAAAAACGTGCCTTCTTGACGGCCAGTTTTCAACTCCTGGCTAAAAGCCTGCTGTCAAGTCCAAACAATTGTACGAGTAATAATTAATAATTATTAGAGAATCAACCCAGGTTAAAAAAATTAAGCCTGAATTTAATTTTCACTTGAGTGTATAATTTATTATTATACACTGTAACAAAGGAGTCTGATCGATGGGCTTCATTAATCATACAATAGTCATGTAACTATTCCACTTGATTACATGTAACTGTGGTCTAAGAGTGAAGGGTTGAACATGTAATTCCTAATCACAAAAGTACATCCCTGAGTACATGCTCTTCCTGGTGCTGAATACATTTTTGTACCAGATGTAAACTAAACGTTTACATGAACAGTAGCTATAAAAAGACATAAAGTGTTGCAGTATTGCAAAAGCTTACTTAAACTAATGTTGGGTGTAAACAAAATTTGTAACTTCAAGTTTCAAAAGAAAGAATGGCATGGATATTTCTAGCCTGCGAACGGCAGACGTTTCTCCTCCGCTCATCACCCCTGAGGGACATTTCGCAAGGAGGAACGTCTGCGACTCCGCAACAGAAATTCCATACTGATGACGTAAATCAATGTTTACATAACAAATCCGGTAGTCATGGGGTTCCAATGCAAATTTGTTCAATTTTATGTTTCTCCTGGTCGATTTTAGTAAAGTGTTGTGTTCCTCTGCGAATGAGCGCCAGCAAACCTCAAATGCTTCCAGAGAAGACTATATTCCACAAATATTGGCTGTTTTGTTAGAGATTCATGGCGTTTACATTTGACCTTTGCGGCCTTTTGTCTTTTGTCTGTCATTCGTAAACAATAGCTAAAACAATGAAACTACGCTGTCGACCAATTAGCTCTTCTGACCAGATTCCGGACAGATTTAGGGTCATCAGTATGGAATTTCTGCCGCTGAGTTGCAGACGTTCCTCCTCGCTTAACGTCCCTCAGCGGCGATGAGCGAGGAGAAACTTCTGCCATTCGCAGGCTAGGATATTTCTGGAAACATACTGAAACCTAACCAAACTCACCTGAAGCCTTCGGAGTTGGGCTGTTCTTGATACAATCTTGAAGTATGGCTCAGCAATATGCTGTTGTATCCTAAACAGTACCAGAATAAAAATACATGTAGGAAACCATAAAAATGCATTATCATTTGATTGTATCACACACAAACTATTAATAATAATGCCATACAGCATAATCATGTAATGTTGCACCAGATTATCATGTTTCATTTCTTCATTGCTACATTTGTCGCTAGCATGTATGAGCCCGGAAAAAAAAATAACGAGCAGGATTGATTGCAGGTCGTCTGTAATTTAAAATTCCGAAAAACTTCACTTGCCTGTCGGGCAAGTTAAGAACAGAATTCACTACCTTGATCGCAAAATTCACTAGCCATGGGTTATCAAACACTACTTTCTTTGCTCACTGCACACTGCAAGTATAAATACAGCTTTTTCTTTTTTGTTTATCTAATAATACAAGATACCCTGTAGATTATTTTTTTATCAATTATTATTATTTTAGTATTTTTATTTAAGTTTAATAGCAAGTACCTTTCAACAGAAGCTTTCAGTGAATTTATCCTGGTTTGCATCATCTGAAGAACACCTTTTTTAAAAAAAGAAAAAAGTAATCCGCTAAGCTACCTTGAGAACACACAAATTAAGTCGCATAGCGAGTGTGAGAGTTTGGTTGTAACGACTTGTTCAAGTTAATGTCATTTGTAACCAGGCCTGAGGACTGCAATAAAATACATGTACATACATTTTTATTGTAGCTCCTTTTGCCCTTACACTGCATGTACAGAGAGAAAATTATAGCAGTGCATAGCATTTTTTTAAATGCTTTTCAAGTTATTGTTTACATTAGTTATAAGTTTGTAAAGATGAGCAAAACCAGACTACACACTGTAGTTTACTTTGCCTTTTAGAACAACTTGATTTCCTAGAAGGTTGGTCGGTTGGTTAGTCAGCCTTGGGTTAAACAGAGCAGTCTAGAACTGTAGACAATTCATTGTGAGTGTGTATTGTATGAGTGTAATCCCTCCTTCACTCTTGACCTACAGATGACACTGTACATGTAACTTCATTCACGTACAGTGTATACCTGCCAAGTGTCACGCCTGAGGCGAGATTGTCATGCCTGCAGATCGAAAACTTGTTTTTCACGCCTACTCACGCCTGTGTTCCAATTTGTCATGCCTGGTAGAAAAGTTTGAGCCATTACAGCATTACTGACACATTTTGAAAAATCTATTAAATTATAATTAAACAAACCAGAACCAAAGAGAGAAAAGAAACGTCTATGTGGATGATCGACTTTCTCCGAATTTTCTTTTTTTAGCAGGGAAGTCAATGTTTCTTTGTGTTCCTGTGTTTGTGTTAGACGGAACTCTTCGTAACATCTTCGGAAGTCTTTGAACATCTTTGGACATCTTCGGATATTATGGGACCCCTACGAAAAATCTTGGCACTCTTAAGATAAAAAAGTGTCACGCCTATAATTGTAAAAAGGTTGGCAGGTATAACAGTGTAGAGCTGTTAGCATGAACAAGTTTCATTCATCTCACATTTTGTATAGATACAGCTGCACTGAAAGTAACTTTAGTTTTATCACATAGAATTGTTTATATTTTTTCTCTGCTCACAAAAATTATAATTATCACGAAGATGAAGTGTCATGCCTAAGAACTAACCTTCAAGTGTTTCAATTCCAGTTGCCTGCTGTAACAAATCTTCATGATGTTCAACAACCTACATACATTGTGCAAACATAGAGAATAATTTCCTAAGAATGGTAATAAGAAATTTAGACATGAACAATTATTAATTGACAATGTACATGTATTTTTCTGCTTTTTACAAGTGTCCAGTAAAATACAAGTCAGTTGCTTTCAACAAAAGTTTAGAGGTCACACTGACGCTCACTTCTGTTCAAGACTGAGTGCCTGCTTGAATTTGGGTTAACTAACCGCTTCCTCCGGGTGAAAAACGGAGTCAAGTGCAGGGCTGTTAACCCCTGATATCTTCAAATATTGAGAATTGACAGGGAAGGCATAAAAGATGATGTCATAATGCACGAAACATAACGTCATTTGTGCAAAAAAATATGTGAAAAAGATGTTGTTGGAATTGTAACATTTGTACCTGATTGGTTTACTTCTCACCAATCACATAATTGCTTATATTACAATGGTATACCAGAGTTTCTGAGGAAACATTCAATATTAAAAGTTAAATAGCTCAAACAACGCAAAATATTTGAAATTTCATTGACAGAAAGTCGAATCTACAAGAAATAGCATCCATGGCAATTATCCAGAAGATTTCAGACTCTAATCTGGAGACCAGGGGAAACGGTTCAAAATCGGGAGTCTCCTGGATTATCTGGGAGAGTTGACAGCACTGCAAGTGTGAGGTGCTTCTCACTTTTGCATCTGTTGATGAAATTCCATGGTGTAATAAATTGTAAAATTCAAATTAAGCCTTTTCGCCACTATGGTATGTGGTCCTAGCATTTGAGACTGTGCATGAAATTCTCTGGTGTGACGATTCAAGTGAAAATTCTTTTCCACTACAGGTGTATATTAAAATGTTGCTATTAATTATATTTCGCATGTAAATAAAATCTAGTCTTTGAGTCCATACAGCTGTAGATGAAATCCCATGATAAAACCATTCAAATAACTCAAATTTTTCCAATTTCATTTTAGATAACCAGACACTTCAATGCAAACTCAAGCAGTGAAATTGCAAAAAAGAAAAATTGATCACTTCGAGTACATTTATAGTTTGTGCATGAACAAGAAAAACACTTTGAGCCTGTGTATTCTTCATTCTTTAAGCCCAGCACAACCAGCTAGTCGCAATTTTGGACCCTGCAAATGATGATGATGATGATAATGATGATGATGATGATGATGATGATGATGATGATGATGATGATATTGATATGGGTATTGATTTGTACCTTATATCTATAGAGGGTGTTTATGGACTGTTGTGGCAGTTATATATAGATATCCAAACTCACACTTGAAATCCAGATCTTGAGGGTGTTGGCTAATACGACAACTGGCTATGGCCATTCAAAAAAATTGGATCCACAAATAAAAAAAAAAACATTTTCAGATTGCAACGAAAATCTTTTTAAGCGTCAGGGATCTTTTTGTTCCTTGTTCTGTTACAACTACATGTACCTTCACAACCTTCAACATAATTATTAAACGAAGAAAACGACAAGATGGAAGTCTAACCTGACTATGAAGTTCCTTATCCAACAAATTTATTCCATCTGCCAACCTGGCAAGAGCATCGCTAATGGCTCGACCTTGAATAATGTTGTTTGCATAGGTTCTGTCGTCGAATTCGTCCTCCAAAAATTGCCTGAAGGTTTCTAAAGGTATTGGAGAGATCAAGAAAGTTTTAATACCATGAAAACGGCCGACGATCTTAATTTAAGTCTTGAAAACTACCATCATTTTGCAGAAGCTTTTCCAAGTTGGCGTCCATTTTGAATGATATCTTTTCAAGTTCACCCGCTGACCCTATGATACCGATGTAGTGTACTTACACGTCGACAAGTCACATGATTCAAAGTCACGCAAAAATCCGCAAAAATGGCGTCTGGGCGATTACAGGGCAAAGACGTTCTCGTCACTGCTGCAGCGCAGGGAATCGGCCGTGCTGTAACTGAAGCATTTTCCCAAGAAGGAGCCAATGTAATTGCTACAGATATAAACGGCGATAAACTGGCCGAGCTAAACGGAGTCAGAGGAGTGCGAACGAAAGTTCTTGACGTGACAGACTACGATGCTGTAAAGGCTTTTGCCAAAGAAGTCACGAAGCTGGACGTGCTTTTTAACAATGCAGGGATGGTCCATAATGGTTCTATTTTGGAATGCGAGGAGAAAGGTGATTATTGTCCATTCTGTCTATTGAATGTGTCCTTTTAGTAGTCTCGTTACAGCTGTCGGACATGTAGGCGACCACCTACCCTAGTTGTTAAAAACGTTGGTCATTTTAAGGCGAAATAATTTATAAGCTTACATGTCAACTTTACGTCTACATCTATTTTGCTGGTGTTCTCAGACCAAAAAGAGAGGCAAATTAATCTGGCGTTCTGGTACCTTTTTTTGTTTTTTTGTTATCCGTGGCTGAAGTCCACTCCATTGGGAGACAGTGGGGGATTGTTTCAATCGGTGTTGTCCCACGGGGGATGGGGGTGGAACAGTTTGGAAATCCCCTATTCTGTAAGCCCCCCGGCGCGGGGAGTTTATTTATTTCAAATACACTTGAGGAGGCAGGAGGCCTTATTAGAGACAGGCGGCTAATTTGAAAGGGGAAATTTATCTAATTAATTATTAGCAAAGACAATGGTATCAGTTCTCCCTAAAAAACTACTGTAGAGTGCAAAGTGGAAAAGTTCTAATCTAGTACAAGACGTTGGAGGTCATGCAGCCCAGGATCAAAAGCAAATCCAAACTTCCAGCTGGTGAAAAAACCATCCTGGATCAGTCCACACAAAGTTTTACAGTCATGATTGATTGATACAGTCTATAATGTATTAGTGTGTATATATTAATAAGGAGGGGATGGGGGGATTATTAACTGTCTTCCCCTAGAGAGGGACCTAGCTTATTTGAGAGTAGGGGTTGTCAAAAGTAGCCAGCTGCCAACAAAAATTGCCACCTACTTGGTTAGTATTGGCTGACTACTCTGCTTGGCACTTCTTTACATTATGACCTTTTTAAATAAAATATTCCTGGACTGGCCACTTACTTTGACAATTCAGCAGTCTACTTCAAAACTTTCTGACAACCCTGGGCTTAATAGAGGATTTACGGTATACCAGTATCTCTGCAGGCATTCTTGCATAAATTAACTTCTCAAAAAAATTAATGGCCTAGTCTCAGCCAGGTTAGAAACATGCACACTATAATTTTGTTGAGAAAATCATAATTTGCGCTTATTGTTGTGTTGTAGACTGGGACATGTCATTTGATCTCAACGTGAAGAGTATGTATCGCTTAATCAAACAGTTTCTGCCCATGATGTTATCACAAGGTGGAGGAGTGATTATAAACATGGCATCGGTGGCTTCTAGCCTCAAGGGGGTACCAAATCGTTTTGTTTACAGCGCCACAAAGGGAGCTGTCATTGGTTTGACAAAGGCCCTTGCCTCTGACTTTGCAACAAAAGGCATCCGCTGCCACACCATCTGTCCAGGCACAGTAGACACCCCGTCTTGGAGAGCACGAGTAAATAGCCAACCAGATCCTGAAGAAGCTATGAAAAAATTTCTGGCTCGGCAAAAAATGGGGAGAGTTGGAAGGGCTGAAGAAATTGCAAAGCTAGCAGTTTATCTAGCCTCTGACGAGGCAAGTTATATGACAGGGTGTGAGTATATCATTGATGGTGGATGGATGTTGAGTTAGCTTAGAACCTTACCCATGTTTTCTATTTCTCTAGTACATAGAGTACTAAATTTAAAAATCCACAAACCTTGAAACCAATTTACTCATAAATAATAATATGTTGTTTTCATTTTGTATGGGTTGATCAACAGGTTTTAATACAAACATAACTGATTTTTTAATACAAACATAACTGCTTTTTAGACATATCTTGAACAACATTTATAAATGAATATGCAGTGTTTTTTGCCAAAAAAATTACCTTCTCCAACTATTGTTGATGAAAACCAAAAGCTGTGAGAATCAAAACCCAACTTCAAAATAAAGTTGACTTTACAAACTTATGTCAAACCCTATTTTTTGGTGTTTGAGGAGGGGGACATTGGAGGGTACCCAATACTGCAATACCGTAAGAAAAATTGGCAAATTTATACCAAAATACTGGGTCAAAAATCAACAAAACACTGATATTGCATTTATGATCAGTCAGGCTTTCTTACACGTAAAGTTGTAATCATCTCGCATGTTTCTTTATTGCAAGCATGTACTTGTATGCACCAGCAATCAGCCTCAGCCATTGTGAGAAAATGTGAGAAGACCTGGAATTGATTGGTATATGTACAACCATCTAAAAGCCCGGTCAAATATTTCATCATGGATTAACTGTCAGAAATTGTGTAATCATTTACCGCGAAGCATGAAGTCTTAAAAATATTGACCTGTGTAAGCGCAAACAGGGACCACGCAGGGGGTGGGGCTGGGGGAGCTTTATCGCTTTTTTTAAAAAATATATTTATTGATAATCACACTAGATAATTACATTTACAATACTACAAAAAACCATTTTAACAGTAGACATTAACAGAGCAAACCAAAATGAATTGTTAAATTATTACAGGGCTAGAATAAATTAGAAAAAAGTACAACAGGGCAATGAATAAAACGGAGTTAAGACAGTTAAGTTAAATAAGGCGTTAGAATCCACTTTCTTTTAAAGAATTCTTTGTAGCTGATTTTTTTTTATTCTTTTTCATATTTAGCGATGATCTTTGCGCTAAATCCATAAATGTACCTATTTGGAACAAGCTCAATACCACAATTCCCTGAACCCCCATGTTCCCCTCTTTGAGGGGATGTCTAGCCCATTGCTGGCTAATTTCATCTGCTAAAAACTAACCAGAATTGTTTCTTCTGGTGATTTTTACAAGCATAGCGTTTCAATCCATGTCCATCCTTGCTATTCGTTGCAAGGACGACAGAAAGCACTTTCAATGCCTAAATGTCGTCTCAGCGAATAACAAAACTGGATCATTACTTTTGGAATTCGATTGATGCGAAAAAACGTTTAAGCTTTCTTAAAAAGGCGATAGCAAATAGCGGGTTGTAGCCCCTTTAAAACAAATCAAGGGATGAGTCCTTTGTCGTGGGATGTGTGCATGCACTGCTGGCGGGGGGGGGCTGTACTTTCATTTTTTCGTTCCTTCTTTCTTGCTCAGTCGTGTCACACGCGTGTTTGATACAACTGTGTGCACAACCTGCCCCGTTAGGAGCTGCAGTTTTATTATTGTGGCTTTCTCCCTCTGTACAGAACGCGCAGGTACCCGCACTGAGTTGTGAAAGAGTTGCACGTATGCTCGTCAGGTCAGCTATTGATCAACAGGTTCTTTCTTTTCTCATTAGCATCCCATTTTCATTAAATTTACGGTATCAATATTATACTAGTCTACTGCTGTAACTTTAAACAGCTGTTATTAAACAAAGGATGGAAGGTCTGAACGAAAAGGAAAACGCTCTGTTGAACCGGAATATAAAAAGTTGAAATTAACGCAAAACTACGGAATACAGGGCCAATTTTCGTGGTTTATATTCGTGGAGCCCTGAAAACATATACATTTCTAGTTCTTTTAAACTCTACCTTCGACTGACCATCCACAGAGTCACTGAAATATATACACCTTTACTTGTTCTTGAAAACTTATACTTATGTGTGTTTATGTCTTACACTTGTGGGGTATTATACCTTTCTCCTTCTATTAACACTCGTCTTGACCAGCGAGTCTCCGAGCCACTAATGTAAACGCAATTTGTTGAAGTTGTTGTTTCCGGCAAGGCTTATTCTTTAACAGCCGTAGCCTCGGAGAAAGGTCAAGGGCGGATTTAGGGGTGGGCCGAGGGGGGCATGGCCACCTCTTTTTCTTTGAAATTGTGTTTTGTTTCTATAGAATTCTCAGAGAAATAAAAAGTATCTCTATGGCTGGCAAGTGGGCAAGTGTCCCGGCCACGCCTTTCTGAATTTTCTAGATCCGCCCCTGAAGGTGAAAGAGAGAAGTCTACGAAAGGTTACAAGTTATTGAAAGTCAATTACAATTCCTTTGCTCTCAGCGGACTCACATTACTTACCAAAGTTTACTTGGGTAAAATCGCGGATATGAGACGTACATGAGGGATGGAGTTAACTTGAAAATTGAGGGAAAGTCTGACAGTAATAAAATGTTCAGTGCCTTGGCTCTGGCTTACGAAACAAGGGACTGGGCGACCGTGGGAATGATTTAGCTGCCCATACAGTAGAACCTCGATATAACGAAGGGCCAAGAAACTGGCAAAATTTTTTCGCTATAACGATTGCTCTTTTTTAGAAGTTTTACTATTACTGCGGTAAAGAAAGTCGATCGTTATCTCAAGGGCTTCTTAACATGGAGGTTCGTTATATCGAGGTTCCACTGTAACGAAGTTTCGTTTATCGAGGCTGTTTTCTAAGTGTTTTACCGTTAGTGGGGTAAAGGAAATCGTCAGTTGTACCGCGAAGGCTTCGTTATATAGAGGTTCGTTGTATCAGGTTCCACTGTATTAGGAAATGACGGAGTATTTTTATCAGAGGGTAAACACGCATACCTTGCCAACTCTCACGCATTAAGCGTGAGTCTCACGCCTGCGGACTAAAGACATCGTGTTCGCGCATCAAGGACAATTTCTCAAACCTAACTCACAAATCCGAACAAAGTGTTCTTTAACACATGATTAATCACGAAAATTCAATTCAAATTCCACGAAAATGTTCCAATAAGATGATTGAATGATGACTTTGTGTCCCAATAAAATCGAAACACGCATAAATTGTCGTCTTTTAAATGGCTTCGGAAGTGGTCAAAGTTCGTCGGAACATCTTCGAACGTTTTCGGCCACATTCGGAAAGTCTTCGGAAAATCGTCGGGAGTCTTCGGACGTCGCTGGGAAATTTTCGGAAATCCCGTCCATGACAAGGCAAATATCTCACGAATTTGACTAAGAAAAAGTTGGCAGGTATACGCATATCATATCAATTACTGTACGATGGATCATGGAAATTCCCCCATTTCTCGTTGGTCTCACTTACCCATGTCTTTAAACAGATGATTTGATGAAGGTGCCCTACCTGTAGAAAATGCGGAGGTTCGTAGTCACAGATCATCATAAGCTTTGTGATTTTAAAAAAAAAAAAGCTGATCCTCCGGCTTGCCCACGATGCATTTTCGCTCCAGTCCTATCAGCAAGGTCACCTGGTCTCAAGATCATTTGGCGGGAAATTTAATATGCCATGCGGCTCTGTTTGATCACATGAATTAAGAGCAACATAACAGTCGGATTGCGCAATTTACGATAGTATTGTAAAAACCCAAGCCGTGCTATCTTTTTTACTCGCTTGGACGATTATGATCGGATGTGAGATGTTCGGCAGATAGTTAGAGATCAGTGTTCTCTGTGCATGAGATTACACGCGTCGAGTAGACACTGATCCACTTTAAAACGTCTGTGTCTCACTTTGCGAGTGGTTTCCCCAGTGCACAGCCCCAATATCACTAAAAACTTCTCATCTTAGCAAAAGAAACAGAAACTCTAGCATAGTATCGACATAGTAAAGAGCAGTTTTGCTCTAATTTGGGGGCTGTATGTAATCAAATTTCACGCTAGCTTTTCCGTGCGTTTACGCGGCAGACAACACGTTTGAGGTGGGGTGACAACAAAATGACCTTGCTCTTTTTTTAAGCACCTATGTCTTTTAACTGCTAGTCATTATCCTTTCATTCTGCAACGATTGCGATATGCAATCGCAAGCGAATTGTAAGGGGACACTTACAAAGACCGTGATATGGTCATGATAAACTCGCTTACAGAGTTTGTGGTACTTAATCAATCCTATAGCGTTACAGTTACGTGCCACCTTAGATACATAGTGATATTCGGGAATCTTTATGTTCTCATTGACAAAGAAGGAAAGAAAGGCTGTCGGAACTTCTGTCAAAAATAAAAACAATAAAGATCGGGATTCTATTAAGTATTTAATAATCAAGCGAATCCTATTGAAGGAGGCAAGTTCATTTCCTGTCTCGGGGCGGAGCATGCACACATTTGAGTCATAAGAACTGTAATTTGTTGTCTCGGCCGCGTTTAGGATTAAGAAGTTATTAGATTTTTCACAGCAAATTATATTCTATGCTCAGAGCTCGACGCAAGACCCTTTGAAAGTAACCTTTCATTTGATGAAGGAATTAGAGATGGGGAATTTTAAGCTCGGTGAAACTAATGTGAAAATACGACAGAAAAGAGATTTGAAATATGGTATTTTATCTCGTTTCCTTGTCTCGCGTTCATGCTTTCAGTTCGTGGCCAGTGCACGCGCGTTCGTTTACACTTCGTTGACTGAACCTGACCTTTTTTCTGATACATAAAAGTTGTGGCCACACTCGGCTCAAGAAAGGTGACAACCGTGCAGGTGTTTTAAGATTCAAGTTTCGGTGTGAAGTCTAAACTATGAGCAGTCCCTTGATCAAGATTGTCGAACAACCGAGCATGACAAGCCAGCAAACAAGGGAAATTAAAGTTCTTTCACTGCTTGATCGATTCCTCAAGACTAGAAGTTACAGCTTACCTACTGAGAAAGGATTACAGAGGTGTATTTGAAGTCAAGAACGCTGCCCAATCCAGTGGTAAACACAGGCCCTGTGTTATTTTGTTTCGGATGACAAGCCTCCTGGAAGTGCTAACGTAACGGGTAGTCGCCCTGAAGCGTGCCATGGCCGTTAGAAATTTCGCCATGGCGACTATTAGTATCAGTTACAAAATGAAGAGGCTGTATTTTTCAAAGGTTGGTTTTGTTTCATTGTCATGGATATGGTCAAAGACTTGGCGAGCGACACTATACAGGTTTTTTTTCCTTCTGGTTTCTTTGTTTTCATCCCTTCCATTCGTAATTTGAAATTAACAGTACGCCCACTGGCACAAACTGTAGAAATTAAAACACCCGTATGAAACAAAATAACCGACTCTTCGTCCAGTTGGACTTCATAAAACAATACCCAGTTTAACTCTTTCAAACAAAAGCTCGCCGAGGGTTCCGAACAGCTCAAAACTCAAGAATTCAATAAATCGTGCATCCCAACGACTTTCTTTCCGGTGACTTTTAAGGTATGCGTTAACACCTGTTTGTAACAATAAAAAGTTTATAAACATTTATCGCTGTTTGTTTAACTACATGGAGTCTTTAAAATGGGCAGTAGGTTGTCCGCTCATCTTCAATGAATCATTCAATCAATTAATTAATCAATCAAGGCTTATTACGTTCACTTGCGCTAAAAACTGAACCGTAACTGTAAAGAAACATACAGTGAACACACCGTGTGGATTTTATTAACACAAAATAACCCCCGTCTTCTTTTTTAGTTTAGCCCTTTGCACCGGTCTCTTGCGCTTGATATTAAAGATTCATTCACCAAATAGCGTTTTTTTTTTCTTTTGGAAATAAGGTGCGTGCGCTCCCACTGTAATTGTTG